TTATGTTTAACTTTGCAAAAAAGATTAGAATTGTTGAAAATGAAAATGTTATGGTCTGTTAGAGAGGCACCATATTTGACTACAATATTGTTTAAATTGTTATTGAAGTTCTTTCGTGTTTAGAAATTGTGTGTTCTAATATAACTTTCTATTACTATTGCACATTTGGATTAAAAATTGTCTTTTTTTTATTTTAGAATAGATAAGGTCATAATCTTTTTTTCATAATTTGCTTTTATGTCTCTCTATTTATGCAAAAATATTTGAAAAAAAATATTATAAAATACGGTGCGGAAGTTGGCGCCAAACAAATATGTATATATATTTTATTTTTATGTTAGAGGCGCCACTTTTGGTGCCAATATATATTGTTTTTATTTATATTTATTATTTGCGCCGATTTTGGCGCCAACATATATATATATATATGTGTGTATTTTTTGTTTTGCTTTCGACGCCAGCATATATATATATATTTGCTTGTTGTGGCGCCAATTTCAGCGCCTTAACGTTTTGTTTAATTACTGGCATGTAAAGTGGCGCAACGAATTTGTAATATAGATTTGGAAATCCCTTACTAATGAAATTGGAACCACCATTTTGTCATGGATTGAAATGGAGACATAGACCGCACCAATTTACCAAAATAGTAATGGTTTTGGCTCGAATTCTTCCGTGGAAAATCCTTATATTTCTGATAGTATCAAAATATTACATAAATAAATATTTATATTATATCAAACAATTATTTCAATTAAAAATTTTGCAATTCAAAATCAAAATTCAAATTCAAAACTTCACAAATAATGCTTTAAATTTGATATTTAAAATTAATTATAATTTAGTATTAAATAGAACAATCATTCAAATATCATAAACATGTAGTAACATGACAAAAAAAAAATGCAGTAACATACCATTCCAAATCCTTAAACAAAAAATAAAAAATAAAAAAGTGATGTTAGCAATTCAATTATATGTTGAAAATATTAAATTTGATATTTTAAATTAATTATAAATTATTAGTTTGTTTATTTTGTATTTTTGAATTGGCTTGTTTTATGTTAAATACCGAGAATTGATTGATGATATAAATATAATATTTTGAATTAAATTGTTGACTTATTGTTACTAGATAAAATATATATATTATATATTGTGTTAATATATGCAATGAGCAGTAAAAGTTTGGAGGGGCAAAAATATCGATTTTTTTATTGATTCAATATTTTTCGTTTTTTTTAAATTCATAGCACATCAGGACAAAAAAAAATGAAAAAATTTAAATGTTTTGGAAAAAAATTCAACAAAACTACATAAAAATTCAATATTTTTTATTATTAAAAAATAAAATTTAAAGGTTAAAAATATAAATCAACAAACACATAAAATTTTTATGATATTTTACATTATAAAAGGAAAAAAAATAGGATGGGCAAATTACTAAAATATATATAACATTACTATTTTTTACACTAAAAAATATATATATTTTGGGGATTGGGGGGTCAGTTGCCCCCATCTGCTCCTAAATATATATATATTTTAATACTACATCCGTCATCCAATTGTGTGCTCACCGGATATGCATTTATATAAAATAGGTAAAAATATATTTTTTTACTTTTTTATTAAAAAAAAATAGAAAAAAATTGTATTTTCTTACTAAGAAAACGAAAATAAAGTTGGATGTCAAAAAAATAAAATAAAATAACAATAAATTTGAATAACAGAGGAAATATTCTCTCCGTCCACTTACAATATTTACATTTACTTTTGGCTGAGTAGTTAAAAGTAGTATAATGATATTTTTGCCCTTACTTTTTTGTGTAAAAGTAATGATGTGATGTAAAGTAAGGGTATTTTTGGAAAAAATTTAGGGTATTTAATGAAATGTTAACTTTGTAATTGGACGTTCCAAAATAGAAATATGTAAATATTGTAAGTGAACGGAGGGAGTAATATTTATGGATAATATAACACTAAAAGTGAACAAAGCCTTAGTACTTATACATATCTAGCTATAATATATCCTAAATGAACGGTAACACCTGTATTAAATTTGATGTTTTAACCAATAGTAAACTAAACACTCCAATTATTTATAAGCAAACAGTAATACTCCCTCCGTCCCATAACAAAGTATTTATTTTTCTATTTTAGTCCGTCTCATAACAAAGTATCAATTTTTTTTAGTAACTGTACTATCTACCTAACATTACAAATACCCTTACAACTTACAATATATTACACAAATATTATTACCTTTATATCACACATACTAACAAGGTTATTTTAGTCATTTCTACTTTATTCCTCCTATATCCCAATATAATACTAATATTTCTAAAACAACGTACAAAAAACAAATAGATACTTCTTTTTGAGACGAATGGAGTATTTAAAATTTGATATTAAAAATTAGTTATGAATTGCTTATTAATACAAGAATTATAAAAATATTCCAAATAAACAGTAATATTGACGGTTCTTTATTTTTCTAAAATGTACTAACATTATCCCTCAAGTTTACGGCCAAAATAACATCAATAATTGTATTAAATAAGCTATTTTAAATTGATTATGAATTATTTTATAATACAAAAATTATATGAATATTCCAAATAAGCGGTAATATTAACTATTCTTCAACTACTTTTCTAAAATGCACTAACATTATCGTCTAAGCTTATGTCCAAATAAATGGTAATATTTGTATTAAATACAATATTTTAAAATAATTATGAATTATTTTGTAATACAAGAATGATATGAATATTCTAAATAAACGGTAATATTGACACCCCTTCAACTACTTCTAAGATGCAATAACATTATCGCTCAAACTTATGTTCAAATTAACAGTAATATTAGTATTAAATATGATATTTTAAATTAATTATGAATTATTTTGTAATACAAGAATTGTACGAATATTCCAAATAACCATTAATATTGATAGCTCTTGAAGTGCTTCCTAACATGCAATAACATTATGACTCAAACTTACGTCCAAATTAACGGTAAAATTTTTTTAAATTAATTATTAATTATTTTGTAATACAAAAATTTTATGAATATTAAAAATAAACGGTAAAATTGACACGTCATCTTTAACTACTTTCCTAAAATACAATAACATTATCGTTCAACTTACGTTCAAATTAATGGTAATATTTGTATTATATACAATACTTTAAATAATTTATCAATTATTTTGTAATACAAGAATTATACGAAAATTCCAAATAAACGGTAATATTGACAACAATTCAACTATTTTTCTAAAATGTAACTTACCTCCGAATTAACGGTAATATTTACAACAATTCAACTGCTTTCCTAAAATGCAACTTACTTCCAAATTAACGGTAGTATTTGTATTTAATACGGAATTTTAAATTAATTATGAATTATTTTATAATACAAAAATTATACGAATATTCCAAATAAACGGTATTATTGACAACTCTTCAACTATTTTCCTAAAATGCACTAACATTATCGCTCAAGCTTATGTCCAAATTAACGGTAATATTTGTATTAAATACAATATTTTAAAATAATTATGAATTATTTTGCAATATAAGAATTATACGAATTTTTCAAATAAACGGTAATATTGACACCTCTTCAACTACTTCCTAAGATGCAATAACATTATCACTCAAATTTATGTCCAAAATAGCGGTAATATTTGTATTAAATATGATATTTTCAATTAATTATGAATTATTTTGTAATACAAGATTTGTATGAATATTCCATATAACTGGTAATATTGATAGCTCTTGAACAGCTTCCTAAGATGCAATAATATTATCGTTCAAACTTACGTCCAAATTAACGGTAATATTTGTTTTAAATACATATTTTAATTTAATTATGAATTATTTTGTAATACATAAATTTTACCAATATTTTAAATAAACGGTAATATTGACGCTTTATCTTCAACTACTTTCCTGAAATACAATAAAATTATCGTTCAACTTACGTTTAAACTAACGGTAATATAATTTGTATTAAAATCGATATTTTAAATTAATTATGAATTATTTTGTAATACAAGAATTATACGAATATTTCAAATAAACGGTAATATATATTAACAACAATTCAACTACTTTCCTAAAATGTAACTTATGTTGCAAATTAATGGTAATATGCATTAACAACCGCTCAACTACTTTTTTAAAGATATAAGTTACGTCCAAATTAACGGTAACATATATTAACGGTAACATATTTAACGGTAACATATATTAACAACAATTCAACTACTTAAAATTTAACTTACGTCCAAAATTAAAAGTCATATTTGTAATAAATACGATATTTTAAATTAATTACTTTCCTGAAATACAATAAAATTATCGTTCAACTTACGTTCAAACTAACGGTAATATAATTTGTATTAAATTCGATATTTTAAATTAATTATAAATTATTTTGTAATACAAGAATTATACGAATATTCCAAATAAATGATAATATATATTAACAATAATTCAACTACTTTCCTAAAATATAACTTACGTTGCAAACTAACGGTAATATGCATTAACAACCGCTCAACTACATTTTTAAAAATATAAGTTATGTCCAAATTAACGGTAACATATATTAACGGTAACATATTTAACGGTAACATATATTAACAATAATTCAACTACTTTCTTAAAATTTAACTTACGTAAAAAATTAACGGTCATATTTGTAATCAATACAATATTTTAAATTAATTATATATTACATTAATAAATTTAAAAATAATATATATATATATATATTTATATATATTAATACAACCATAACCATTTGAATTGATTAGAAAGGAAATTCCTTAGCACCTACTCAAAATCAATCCCAACCCTCCCCGCCGAAGCGAACCATCGTGTCCGGTGGTAAGCTGTGCACTGATTCCGCCAAACTCATACACACACACATATATATATTATACATACAACTATAGATATATATATATATTATACACCGCCATGGAACAGGATCTACACGATAATCAAAACATGTTGTTAAAACGACGCCGGGAAGAAGAAGTGTGCGGCGGCGGTCAGGATGGCGGCGGCCCCGACTACTTATCATCACTCCCCGACGCCATCATCGCCAATATCATCACCTCCCTTCCCTTCAGAGAGGCGGTCAGAACTTCCCTCCTCTCCAGACGGTGGCGCAGCCTTTGGCAATCCACCAGGAGCGTCGACATCGACGAGAACCTCTTCGTGCAGAAAGAGGGAAACGTGGTGGAATTCATCCGCCGGTGGCCAGAAATCTACGGCGGCGAGCCTACCATGGTGAGTTTCAGGCTCGCCGTTTCGAACCCGCCGGAGCTCTGCCGGCCCGACATCCAACGGTGCATCGATTTCGTCGTCGACCGCCGGGGCCTCAAGGCGCTGGATCTCGACTTCTCGGATCCTTCCTGGGATACTAATCGCGACACAATACCCCAAACTACGTTGTTTCATCTCCCCTTAGTGCTCGAAGACGGCCGCCATTCGTCGCTGGAAACCCTACGCTCGTTTGCCTGCAAAATTAGGGTTCCGGAATCGAGAAATTTCTTCTTCGCCATTAGAGAACTCTTCTTAGGGTGGATTGAGATGGCGGGCTCTTCCCTGTGCGGTCTGGTGTCGATGTGTCCGTTTCTGGAAACCCTAACCGTGAAGAGGTGCTGGAATTTGGGCAGTTTGGATTTGGCCGCACCAAGACTTAGGGTTCTTGTGCTCCATAAATGCACAGGCCTTGATTACATCTCCCTCACTGCTAAATCGCTGGCGATCTTCAAATACAGCGGCGGCTATACCTACCTGCAATTAGATTATCACTCGAGTTTGGTGCAGGCCGAATTTGACTTCCAGCAGCAGCTCCGGTGGGAGGAAGGAGCCGATCCAGAGATGCTGTACAACGCCCTGGTGGAAATTTGGAGAGCCGAATTTCTTAGTGTGTGCAGCTACATGCTCCAGGTCTACTATAAATATATATATGTATTTATATATATATATTAATTTTTTAAGAAAAATCTTAATTAATTAATTTGCAGATGGTGCAAATGGCGGAGGAATCCTCTGTGAAGCCACGCCTGTCGTGCTTAAGGCATTTGCATTTGAAGACGCAGCTGCACGTTAAGGAGTATTTCGGCATCACTTTCTTCCTCAACAGTTGCCCTAATCTCAGGGTTTTGTCCATCGACTTGAGCCCCTCCACACAGATTTTCCAGGTAATTAATTAATTTATTTATTAATTATATATATGAAGTGCAATTAATTAGCTTAATCAATGGAAATTGATATGATGGACATGTCAGGAGATGAGACCGCCGTACCGTGTAAGAGAGCATCCATTTGTGAGCAACTTGTGGTACCCAACGTGCTTGGAGAGGACGTTGCAGAGAGTGGAGGTGAAGGGCTTCAAAGGGGACGACGACAGCCAAATTCTGGTGTTGAAATTTCTGCTCAAGTATGGTCAAGTGTTGGAGGCTCTGTGCTTTTGTGTGTCCAAAGAAGAAGCTGCTGCAGAAGAACAAAATGTCCGAAAGTTTATGGAGCAGTGCGACGATATCTGCTCCCCCAATTTGAAACTATATTTACGCTACAATTAATTAGTCGGTCTTATCATGTCAGCAGCAGCAACACAACTTTCCAATATCATTACACCCAATTTAGGCAACTTGTCAAGTTTGGCTCTCAATACATTGTTTTGATTGTTTGTTTTATTTCTCCTTGGATTCTCATTCCCTATTAAACTTACGGAGACATAGACATATTATTATCTTTTAATATGAATATATAATTAACTTATCCAACTTTTATTTTTGAAAAACTATTTGAATTGTAAAAAAAAAAGAAAATATGATTATAACTTTAAAAAATAATAATTACACCTTACCACATTATCTTGTGCCAAAAGCCAATAATTTTCTGCGCCGTGAAATAATCGTGCGCTATCTCAATTTTATTGAAAAAAACAACGGGTGGTCATGATATTTACTCATTGAACTACAATGTTTCGGAACTTTCTTTAAATATTGTAACAACAACATAGTTCTTCAATCTACAATATCCTTATCGCATATATTCTACTTACACGTGATGCACACGACTAAGCTAATAGAACCGTTTTTTTTTTTTTTTTTGTCATAACTCGTTCAATTTTTTAAACTTGATTAAAAAAAAACATGTCTTTTAGAAGAATTACATACAAGCTTCAAGAAAATATACCATGTCGGAATTTCAACTCAGACTACGGGCAAATATATTGATGAGTAAAAAGGGTTTGGTTTTGTTCATGATTTGAATATTTAAGATTTTGGTTAAATATTTTTTATGTAAATAGGATTGAAAACGAGTATATGGTTCCCTAATAGATTATTCCAATATAATGAACAAACAAATAAATATGTGACAATAATCATACATAATCTTCCAACAATAGCGAAAATTGAATTTGAACATAGTAGATGAAAACCCAATTCTATCTACAATCTATATTTGGGGATCCCAATTAAAAAATATGCAAACTTTACATTAACAAAAAGGAATTTCATGCGCAATAAATAAAATACAAAATATTTTGTACATTTTTACTTAAAAACAAAAAGAAGTGTTATATAATTTACCCAATATTTTAAAACAACGAACAGGTAAATAAATTCTTGGCAATGCATCTTCGTCCAACAACATAAAAACACTGAACTTGTGCGGAGTAAAGGAAAACATAACACAAACAAGTTATTTACTCAGTCCAGTCACAACCTATGATTGAGGATCTCAATTCAGATATATTCATTATATACTTCTCCAAGCATACAAGAATACATCAAAAATACCAACTCAAGCTTGAGTTCCCTTGTCCTTACTATGAATCTCCTATGCATCACCATGCATTTGGAATTGTAATTGTAGTTGTTCTTGTGGAACCACAATGATAGCCGGCCACCATTAAATTTAGAGTAGAAGAATTAATCATCAGTTGTGTCAAGGCTAGATCGATCATCTTCTTCTATGCTCATTTAAACTTGAATAGCCATGGAAGATCTTTGGAACTCCAGAGAGATAATGTATAACTTTGTTGAAAGTGGATTGTATTTGTTTTTCAATTTTGGTTGATGTTGTTTGCAGCAATCTAATGAAGACCTAAACAAATTGATCGAGAAAGCTCGTTGGTCCCCCCCAATCTATGTATTGGAATAACAAAAATTGATTGTAACAAACTTTGTGGATGCTGGGAGAGAGACAGTGAAATAATAGATTTCATTCTTGTTGAATTTGTTAAAGTGAATATTAGAGTGAATATTCTCATATTCGGTTATTGCTTCTGTTTGGTTTTGAGCGAATTTGGGACCAACAATTTTTATATATATTAAAAAAAAATAAACAAAAAATAAAAAAAACTCCAATTTCTCTCTCCCTAGGACATTGTATTGTGTGGTAGTGTATCGTGTTGTATTACCTTAAGATGTTGAAATAGCCTTTTCAATATAATACACATAATGTTGGAAAAATATTTTGGTGGTTGTTATGTTTTCCAAAAGTTCATTAGATAATCAAATCATCCCATTTATAATCAAATCATTGTTTGTTCGGGGGATTAAATTTTAAATTCACTATTCATTCAATTTTTTTTTCCGAAAAATATCAAATCAAATACTTATTTTTTATTTTTTATATTATACTAAAAATCAATTTTATAATCAAAATATCACATAACACCTATTTATATCACATCATACAATTATTCAAATTTAAAAATTTTACTATTCAAATCTCGAACCCAAAATCCAGACACACTAAATTCTCCACCACAATAATTACACACGTTTTGTATATCAATATTTCACTTCAATTTTAAAGGAACCCTACACACATGTTATTTTGTCCACTACAAATCACACCTATATAATATTTATGATTTTTTTATTGTGATTTAAAATTGATTTAAAAATAATGTGTTGATTTAAATTTTTGTAATAATATTTTGATGTGATATTCTATAAAAAAAAAATAGTAATTTTACGAATTGTGCTAAGTTAATAATATTCGATTCCAATTTAAATCATAAGTATTTATATTTTATATTTTTATAATAAATATAAAAAAATTAAACTTATTTTAGCATAGACTTTTTCGTTCGTATGTCATTATTTCTTTCTTGTAAGTCCTATGAAACTTATGCACAATATATTTATATAGTAAATATTTATTTTTTATAATTTTTTATTTCTATTTTAATTAATAATATCTAATTTACTATTATTTTTCACTTGTATTATTATTTTTTTAATCGACCTTTTAATAAATTCGTATAATACCCTGACAATATATTTTGTATTTATCTTATTTTAATATTAAAATATTAATATCTTTTAATGTCCGTATTCATCCAAACCTATATTTTTATCGGGACGGTGGAATATTAATTTTTTTTTTATTATTATTATTTTTTTGATCGGAAGAAATATTAGTTTTGAATATATCATATCTAGTAGCAGTTTCTTCTATCAGGCTTCCGCATCTCATCAAAACATAACAGCAATTAATTCCAACGGTCTGTTTCAGACATCCACGATTAGGGTTTTGAAAGCAGAGTCACCATCCATTTGGCCAATTCTGAATTGGGAAATTTCCTTTTCAGCACCAATTCGTGGGGCGACCCAAAGTGGTGAGTAGACGAACACAATAGGAAACAACAGACAAAATAAAAGAGGGCTCTCGATATCATCATAAATTCAAAATTCCACATATACAATTTGAGAATCCAAAGGGGCCAAGCAAAACGAGGATCTTTCAGAATCGTGTCAATTGGGAAAGACCTCGAAGACGCAAAGTGGGTCAGGTCAGTCTCTCTCTCTGTCTCTCTCACTCAACCAACGGTCCAAAATTGTCGACACGAGGCTTAACTAAATGCCCTCCGTGAGTAATCAGTCCTCTCCTCTGGATCAGAATCATCGGCAGCAGTTTTGGGCTACCAGACAAACGATGCCCACCCCTGTAGTATTTTTTATCTCCTTTAATCTCGGCTTCTGTTAGTGCTTATGCCACTTTCTCCAATGAAAAATTCTACAATATGTTGTTAGAGTGTGTTTGTTTGGAGATGACGAGAGGGATTTCATATTATCATAAATGAAAATTCATTATTGTTTTTCTGGGATTTCTAATATGCTCGAGACCTACTTCACTACAAGGTGTTTGTGTAAAGTCCTGAAAGACAAAATGTTCAGATTTTGTAGCCTCGTTATGGCTTCTGTCTTTGCTTCAATCGTCGAGGTTGTTGGGTTTGTTTCCAGATATTGGTACAGGTAATGATTCGATCTTTATTACACACAAACACATGTGTATATATACATATATATATATATATACTAGTTTTTACATAATTGTTGTTTTGCAGATCAAGGCCATGTGTGGCTGAAGAGAGTGGTTCGATTTTTAGTGGCAATCATTCTCAGGAGGAGAACAATCATTTTGGCAAGGAATCCATTGTTTTTTGGTCAAGTGGGCCTTCTGGAAGAGAGAATTTAGATGTGAAGAAAAAGGGGAAGAAGAGTTTCAGTGAAGAGGTTGAAGACACAGAGGGCTCTGATTTCTTGCGAACTGGTCTGATTTCTAACAGTAGTAAGTATGAATTCATGTCTGGGAAAGATGTGTGTGGGTTTCTTGAAGAGCCAAAAACGGACAACTTTGTTGTTCAGGAAATGTTTGTGGAGGAATCCACAGGTGATGTTTATGAGAGCAGTGATCGAAGTGTTGGGTGTGAAGCTCCTCAAAAAGAAAACTCTTTGGAAGATCTTGATCAAGGATTGGATTCTTGCAGCTTTCGCTTTAAACTTATTGATGTTTCTTGCCCTTCAAATGTTGTTGTTGGGGAGTGTTTGTCGGCACAAGACAACGTTGGTTACAGTAAAAAGAATCTAACTTCTGAAGAAAGTTTTGGGGAATGTTTAATGGAAGATGAAGCTTTGGAGGAGAAAGATGTTTCTTATGAAATTAAACTGCTTCCTGGAGGGGAATTTTCATTTCCTGATTCAAACCATGAGTCTGATGCTTGTGGAGATGACGACAATGACGAGGATGAAGATTTATTGACATTGAATAAGGAACATGAAGTTAAGTCAGTTGATAGAGAATTGGTTGATGAATATGACTTGAGAAACTGGATGAGTAATTTTCTTGAGGAATCTGATTATATAAAGCCTGATAATGTTGAGGTCGGGCTCGATTTAGATCACACAGAAAGATCAGTCGATTTAAATGATGAGTACATAGAACTCGAGCCTCAACCTTTGAGCCCGATGCACATTGTCGAAGAAAAAATTACAGTTGGGGATGCTAGCAAGCAAGAGGGATTAGTAGATGGATCTAAAGAACAGAAAAAATGTTGGGATTCGGATACAGATGACGACGAGGAGCTAGATGTGTTGTTAGAACATCAGATTTTAGTGCAACAGATGAAAACCGAGCTGAAAAACTGCAGAATCCGAAGCCTGCCTCCAATATCAGAAGAAGAAGGTGAGATCGCCGGGATGGTCGAAGATCTGAAGCCACTTGAAATCGAGCAGAGGATCGAGTACAGAGATGTAATGGAGGAAATCCAGAAGTTCTACAAGAGCTATCTCGAAAGGATGCGGAAATTAGACATCTTGAATTACCAGACATTGCAAGCCATCAGTAAGTGAAACCATACTTTGATTATCGAAATTCATTTAATCAATCGATGATCTAGATTTAGAAAATATTGATCATAACTTCGATGTTCGCCTTTATTATTCAGAGAATTATTCAAACTATATTGCTCTTTAGTTCTTTATGATTTCGGCGCCTTTATATTCAATTATGTAGCTACTTTGTTCATCGAACGGGCCATTGTTTCTTTCCGTTGAGTCACTTGAGTCAGCTCAGGCACTTTATATCGTTAAACTATTTCATTCTTAATTTAAAGTTCTGCCTAAAAGAAAATCCACCATTGCCTAAAAGATGAGTGTAGGGAAAAGGAAAAGAAGGCTTTAGTCATTGGGACAAAACCTACACGTAGTTTCATGAAATTGCGTCAAATCCTTTATACTTATAAAACTGCGTCAAACTCTCTCGTAATTTCAGAAACTCTGCGACTAACCTGTTCGGCGGTTCTTATTTAATGGTATTTGACATAAATGTATCCAAAGAAAAAAAAAATAACTATTTTTGAGTATATTTACTATTTGTTTTTAGGCTAAATATAAAAAAATATATATATTTGTGATTTTAGAGGTTTAGAAATTGAGATACTAAAATTTTATTCGCAGTTTGTGCGCATTTAGTTCAAATACCGTTAAATAAGGACCGCCAAGAGGTTAGATGCAGAGTTCATAATACCACGAGAGAGTTTGGGGCGTAATTTTATAAGTACGAGGGATTTGACGCAATTTCGTAAAATCACAGGTGAATTTTGTGCAATTTAGCCTTAGCCATTGTCTGTGTTTTCTAAACATCGTAAAATTGCAGGTTTCCAGCAGCTGAAGGAATCGGACATATACAGCGCAGGCGCGAAAAGGTCGTGCAAAGGGCAGAGGATATACGCCGATCCAATGCATAGATCGGTAGTTGAAATGCACCGCGACTTGGAATTGGTTTACGTCGGGCAGTTGTGTCTATCGTGGGAAATCCTCCGCTGGCTGTACGCGAAAGCGCACGAGCTGTCGGGATACGATTCTTTAGGCAATCACTTTTATAACCGCACAGCGGAAGAGTTTCAACAGTTTCAAGTGGTGGTCTGGAGATTCATCGAAGACGAACCATTTCAAGGTCAGAGGATTCAGAACTATGTCAGGAGCCGGTGCGCGATAAGATGCCTTCTTCAGGTCCCGACGATCAGGGGTAAGTAAGCAAGCCTTACAACCTTAAACCGGTATGTATCGACGTTTTAAAACATTACCTGCAGACGACTATTCGAAGCTGGAACGACGAGAGGAATCCGATGCAGTTTCTCTCGAAATGCTTATGGAGATGATCCGGGAATCGATCTTGATCTTCCGGGAGTTTCTATTCGCCGACAAGCTATCGTCGAGCATTCAAGAAGTTAGGACATGTCTTCACGACTCGTCGGATTCGATGCTTTTTGCTAATGTCATCGCAAGTCTGCACAAGGTTCGTCTTCTCTTCCTCTTCTGTAGAGCTGTTAACGATTCGAGTCGAGCCAAATTTTAAGTGTTAGTTAATGTTCGCAAACAAGGCTCGTGTTTGTTCGTTAAGCTTTCGAGCTCGTTCGTAGTGTTCGAACTCGGGTCGTTAAGAATTTTTGTTGTTTGAACTTGTGTCCGTGTTCGGCTCATTTAGTCTTGATTAAGCTCATTCGAGTTCGTTCGAACTCGCTTATCTTATTTTTTAAAAAAATTTATATATAAATTATAAATAAAATTTAAAATTATTTTATTTATATATTTTAAAATAATATTTTATTTATTTATAAATTATAATTTTATATGTATATATAATATTAATAATAAATATATTATTTAAACAAACGTTCGCCAACAAAGCTCAGGCTCGTTCATTAACCAAACGAGCTTGATTATGTTGTTTAGCTCGACTCGTTAACGTTCGCGAACGAGCTTTAACCGAGCCGAGTTCACGAACGGCTCGATTCGTTTAACAGCTCTACTTTTCTGACGTCGGCTCTAATAAATGTAAATCATTTGATAATTAATTCGACTCGATTACAGAAGGCGAGGAAAAGCAAGGAATGCGCGAGAAGGCAGAAGTGCGTAGTGAAGAAGTCGAAGAAGAAAGAAGAGGATGACGATGAAGGTCGGGCATGCGAGGTGGAGTTGAGATTAGTGTCGAGAGTGTTAAGGCTGTCGAAATTGAGCAGAGATCAGTTAGTTTGGTGCCAGAAGAAGCTCGACAACATTAATTTTCTGGGCAGGAAACCTCGTGTCGACCAATCTTTCTTGCTCTTCCCATCTTGAATTGATGTTGCTTTCCACTTTTGTAAATCAAATCAGTGTTGTCCACAAAATACATAAATAAATACTAATTACTAGTCAGAATTTGAGGGTACTCCAGCATTGCATATCATACTATGTGCTATTAAGTTCAATCTTAGATTTATCCAGACCATCCTCGAAAAGTAAACTAAGGGCGGTAGATTTCCACGTCATAAAAAGTACTCTTTCCGCCTGGTTGTAAATGTCTTATTTATCTTTTGCGTTATTATACTTGATATTTAAAAATATTCTTATATTTGTATAAAAAATTTTTTGCATAAATGTCATTATAATAATATTATAAAATACTAATATAAGTATTTTTGTTCTTTTTAAGTTTTTATATAATAATTAATATTAAAAAATCAACGCAAAAAAAATAAATCAAACCCTTAGAACCGGACGGATGTAATAATATATATATAATAGTTCCGAAATGATAAGATAATTTGGAGTGAACTTATGATTGTAAAATAATTTCAAATTTTAAATCTTATATGTCACGTAATTTGGTGTAATATGGCGTGTCGTTCTTATCTGCATACTATTAGACAAATGTCTTGCTATCACTGTATAATTGTCACTAATAAAAATCATGAGACAAATATTGAATTGTCTTTATAATATATATTGAAATTGTTATGAAACTTTTGTGACAATTAAATTAATGATAATATATCAATACAATTATGAAAAGAAAAAGTTGTTTTTTTTTTTTTTTTAAATATGTTATTTTTATGCAACAATATTTTTACTTCTCAATTAATTTTTTATTTTTTTTAGTTAAATTTTTGGACCTATGGAGTATTTAAGAATATAATTAATATATTTTGATGCAACATATTAACACATAATTATTAATTATTATATAACCTTATGCTATCAAATTATATAAAAACACATCCTAATTTATTATTGTAAAATAATATTTTGGTTGTGCTTTGAAATTTATTTGAAAATAAATATTTATTTACGTTTTTGTTTAAATAATATTTTGATGCGACGAGAGGAAATAATACTCCCTCCGTCCCAAACATCGTGCAATATTTGTGTTTGGCACGGGGATTTAGGTAGGGAGTATTAAGTATGGTAATTTGAGATAATTTGGATATTAAGTAATGTAATTGGAGAGAGAAATTGTTATTTGGTTTTTTTTTATTTGAGTGATGTGACGGGACAAAGTGAAGTGTATATTAATATATGTATAAAAATATTATTAATTATTTCTAAATTTGAAAATGTTGCAATGAGTTTGGTAAAAAAAAAAAAGAAATATTGCAAGGTTTGGGAAGGAGGGAGTATATTTTTATTAAAAATAGTAGCAACTTAATAATGTTAATTTTGATTTAAAATAATAAAACAACAAAACTTTAAAAATATATCATAAATTATAACATAAAGGGGCATAGCGTTTTTGGGCCTGCTAATATACAGGCCCAATGTAAGTTTTTATCCCAGCCCATTATAATTAAAGAATATATCAGTCGTTAGATCTAGGGCTTAAAGAGACTCCTATATATATAAACCCTATATCGTACAACCCCTTTTCCTCCTCCGCCCGAGCCTCCAATCGTCGAGAAAAAATGGTGCAGCGGCTAACATACAGGACGAGGCACAGCTATGCCACAAAATCCAACCAGCACAGGGTCGTCAAGACTCCTGGTAAGAATGCAGTATGAATTTTTATCTGAATATGTTTTTGCTTGTTTTAATTTTGGTGCATCGACGGAGAAGTACTTTTGTGGTGTTAAATTTATTGGCTGTTTACGTTTTTGTTAAAATAGGAGGTAAGCTTGTGTACCAGAGCACCAAGAAGAGGGCAAGCGGTCCCAAGTGCCCTGTCACGGGAAAGAGAATCCAAGGGGTATGTGCGCATTCGGTTTCGTTTTTCATTATTTTAATTTTGAACCGAATATTATTGTTTGTCTAATTTGGATTACGGTGGAGTCGAGAATGCTCCCCTGAGTTACAAATTTGCGGTTTGTCGATTGTGGCTGTATTCAATCTTAGATTGTTTTGGTAGCCAATGCGTTAGGGTTTTCGCGATGAATTTTATTTTTATATGGCTGCAATTCATATTTCAATCAAATGAAAATTTATATCTACTGAATTAGTATCCTCTATGGCATGAAGATGCCGTTTTAATTGAGTTTTGCTTTTGAGTTATAAGTTTGTTTGGCTGCAATTGATTAGTATATAATTTGGCCTATTTGATTTGGGTTTTATTTAGTAACAAATGATTAATCAGACTGAGTAAATATAGAACAATGTATCTCTCATGATCACTTGTATTGGTTGCTATTAGTAGATGGCAAAGCTTGTGTTGACATGGTTTGTAGAAAAAGCGGCCTAAATGTTTTTATTTTGTAATGGATGAGGATCCAACTTTTGGTTTATAATCTTGGAAGCCATTCTATCGAATCCATTTAAAACATTGTTTAATGGTTCCAGATTCCTCATTTAAGACCAGCTGAATACAAGAGGTCCAGACTACCCAGGAATCGGAGAACTGTGAACCGTGCTTACGGTGGTGTGTTGTCCGGACCTGCGGTTAGGGAAAGGTTAGAGATCTTTTCATCCATTGAATGATTAACAATCAGCTATCAAAGGATTATTTGTGTGTCTAACATGTTTCTTGCCCACATCTTCTCTAGGATCATAAGAGCCTTCTTGGTTGAAGAACAGAAGATTGTGAAGAAGGTCTTGAAGATCCAGAAAGCAAAGGAAAAGCTCGCCACCAAGAGCTGAGTCAATGTTGCGAGGCTTCAAATTTAACCATATCCTTTGAAACATTTCTCTTTACTCCCCCCACCCCCCTCCCCCCATCTCGTCGACAAAACAACTTCGCTAGAATCTTTTGTGATCGGCCATTTGATGACCATTTGCATTTTTCGAAGTTTTGGTTAATTAATTGATCTTGTTCCCATTTGTGACAAATTTTCTTGCAGGGTTAATTTGGGCATTGTTGTTTTCAAGTGTTTCATTTTATTTTTTTAAAAGAAAATGCAGTTTGAAGAAAAATGTTTAGGGGTATGGTTGGTTATAATGTTGTTTGATTAGAGTTTTGATATATACTATATGCTTCAATAAAGATTTCAATTTGAATATGTAGGTAAATAGATCAACAGCATAATTTTATAGAAATAAGAAACAAACATCTGACTTGCATATCAACAGGGCTAAATTAGGACAGTATTTTTTTCAATTTTGATCAATATTTTTGCAAACTGTCATATAAAATGGTTCTATTAAAATAGGGTTTTTGCATAATTGAACGAGACTATCAAGGCAAATTATTATATTATTACATCGTTTTTTTTTTTTATATTCGTACATATAATTTGAGCCAGTAGAGCTGTTGAACCATTGGGCTGAATTGAATTTTACATGGAGTAAATTTAGTTCGAATATAAATAATTTGGATTTTAATATTTTATTTTACAATTAATCGAATCAAATTGAATATAATTATATATTTATATTGTTATTATAGTTTAAATTTTATATTAATAATTTGATTCGATTTAATCAAAAAATTGGTAAATTAAGAGGGTGTTCGACAAACAGTATTTTCAAAAGTTTTGCGTATTGAATAGTTTTTAAGTTGTTTGACTAGTCAAAATATGAATTTAGGTGGTTGGTAAATTATTTTTTAAAATAGTTTATTGGCTCAAAAAATTAATTTTTGAAAAATTATCCAACCCAGCGTTTTAAAAGAATTTTTACGTGAGTTTTAATAAAAACTGAAGATTTTTACCAAATATTACATTACAAAATCAAAGTCTAAGTCACATTCATATCCATGTATTATATGTGCACGGTATGAATTTTACAAAATATGCATAGGACACATGGTCATTCGTATAATATCCGTGTAACTTTCTACTTTTTCTTTTTTTCACAAAAAATGTCATTGTTTTCTTGCTCAAGTAAGAATTATCATTGAGAAGAGAGAAACCATTGGATATTGTACTTCAAATTCCAATCCGGATAGAAAAAGTATGGTGTTGTCTTCATTTCCTATGTTCATGAAACATATAAAACCATTAATCACCAAATCATAGATCACGAGCATCTTATCTAATTAGTGCATCATTCTTCATGGGTAGAATTTTGTACTTGTTATGTCCTATATTTTTCATTATGCACTTTGTAAGTTCAAAAGAAAAATAGTGTTGTCTTTTCAATTTTCAATTCTTCAAAAAAAAATAAAATAAATAACGCTATTGCATTCACTAGTTAATCCACATCAATACAATCTTTTCCAATTCATATACTTTCTATAACCCTAAATAATCCAAAGTCATTGATATGCATGTACGGAGAGTTGGGGGTTGGTGCACTAAAACAATGTCAAATCCATCGCCCGTGACAACTTTTCTGAAATCAACATTATTATTTTTTTATATGTGATCTTGCTGAATATAAATTCTCTGTCATGTTGGCTACTCAAATTTTTTTTTATGGTTGAGATAATCTATCAAAACATTAAAAATAAATAATATACACATCAAATTTTTCAAAGTTAGACGTGAATGTATAGTGAAATAAAATAAGTTGGATTGTATAATTTGAATGAGCATTAAGTACAATCTAACATTATTTATTCTAAAATTTAATAAATTCAAACACCGGTATACTTACATTGTTAATTAAGAAAGTCTTAGTAATATTTTTAATAATTGTTTGAATAAGTTTGGTGATTAGTGTGTCTGTTATCTGATTTTTACTACTCATTTTTTTGCAGCTTCTTTGTATGTAAATAAAAATATGTCAAATTTTTTATAAAAAATCAATAAATCATCCGCTCTATACAATGATCTTGAGATTGGACAGATGCATATAATTTTGGTAATAAATATCTTATTTTGGTACGTTTTATGTGCATTTTCCTCTATTGGAATCATATAGAATTTATATGAACTTCTAATGATATAAAGATACTTTTCATATACGTATATTACATTATTCATGAATTTGAATTGATTAACTTCTTCAATTGAAGAGTAAACAAGCTGTTAAAATAGAATTGCATCATAAACAACTTATTTGATGTTGTCAAATAGGGATGGATGTAAGTAGGGGCAAGGGGTCTGGCCCCCTCTCCCAACCCACCCTTTGATTTTATTTTTTTTTCAATTTAAAAATATGAATTTATATATTTTCTTTATCCTGCCACAAATAATTATTGTTTATTTTTTCTCGTTGTCTGTCCCACAAAAGATACCCAATTTTTATTTTTGGTAAATTGATCAATCTTAACCTACTTAACAAATATAAATCCATTTAGGGTGTGTTTGTTTGAAGGATTTTAGAGGATTTCTACTATTCATCCAATTTCCCCCCCCCCCCCCCCCAAAAACATCACATCAAACACCTATTTTTATTTTTTATATTATACTAAAAATTAATTTTACTTTTAAAACATCACATCAAACCCTATTTATATCACATCATACAACTATTCAAATTCAAAATTTTTCCTATTCAAATCCCAATCCAAAATCCAAACCCCCAAACAAACACACCCTAAATTAAATTCTTAACCTATTACAAGTAGGAATCACTCAGGAATTTAGGAATCAATCCAAAGAATTGATGCCACCCAAATGACACTAATGGACTTCCGGCGAGTGGGGCTTCTGCCACCTCCAAGGAGGGGCAAGGTAGCGGAGGAATTAAGAAGGGCAAGACAAAGGACTCACAGGCCAACCAAAATACACGACGGTGTTGGTCACCGGAGCTCCACTGGAGATTTTTGCAAGCCCTGTAACAACTTGGCGGCTCTTATGGTATATAAATAAATAAATCTTTACATATATATGCACACAATCTAGTCTTGTTCGAGGATGTCACTAATTAATTAATTTATTATATTCATTTTACATATATATATATACACATATGTAAAAAAATAATAGGAAGGAAGGAAGAAAAAGACGAAGAAAAGAAGAAAGGGGGAAGGAAGAGGAAAAGAAGATGGGCAAGGAGGCACTGCGAAAAATAATAGGAAGAATGAAGAAAGAGGAAAAAAGATGGGTAAGGGGATACTGTAAAAAATAATAGAGATGGAGAAGAAGAAGAAGAAAAAAAAAAAAAAAAAAGGGAAAGAAGAGGAAGAAAAGATAAGCGAAAGGGGGACATGAGAGAAGAAAAAAGGGAAGAAAAGATTCTAGGGTGGTGTTGGTTTTGAAGGGACGAAGGATTCCAATGGCGGCCACGGGATGAGAAGAATGGGTACTGGTGTATGCCTATGAGTATGTATAAAGTAGTTTGTGTGTGTCTGTACGATGAAAGCCAACTTTGAAGAGGTATAACAATCAAAATGAGTAAAATATTAAAGGAAGAGGCGACTGTGCAATATTTTTCAAAACACAAGTAAATTTTATGAAATTTTATGACCTAAATGAAATTTTCAGTAAATTCGGAAACTATATAGGTGTTTTATGCTATTTTATCAAAATAAAATAATATCATAAAATAATATTATTAATAGGGATAATAAAAATAAGTACGACCCGAAAGTCGGATCCACGGCACGAAAAATCCATGCTTGGGCTTCCAAAAATAGACCTGAAAATTGTCGGGCCGTGCTTGGCCCGGCACGCTAATGAACCGGGTTGTGCCCGGGCTCATGAAGGTCCGATCGTACCTGGCTCGGCCCAATTTTTAAAATTAATATTTAATATTTAATAAAGTTATATATATTGATGTTTGAAATAAAAATAAAAATTACAACATGGATGGTAAAAGTTTAAGTTTGTATATATTTGATTGTGAGTTCAATTGTCCACTTTTATTAATTAAATTTATTTTGTTCTAAATTAATTCAAAGCTAAAAAAAAAAAAAAAAATATAAAAAAAAAAAAAAATCGAAATACAGGCCGTCACGGGCCAAACTTTTTAGGCCCGATTATAAAATGGGCCGTGCTGGCCCAGCACGGCTTGGAATCGGGTTGGGCTGGGACGATATGAAAAAAAAGCAGGCCGGCTCGTGTTATCACCCTTAATTATTGACTCACTAAATTCTACTGCCTTAGATATTAAGTCAGATCAAGGATGGGTAGCTTAAGCGGTTGAGTCCTCATTTACTATGTTCAAAGTTAAAAATTAAATCTTTGTGAATGGTGAGTGTGTGAATAAATTCTATAATAGAGAAACCATTTATCTCTCTTAATCTATGTCATCAATTTGGTAAAAAAACATAATCATTACTTTATCATCACATTAGCTAAAACTGAATAAGGAATTAGATATGCAATGTATGAAATAAATTACCAACGACAAATGATAACCAAACAACAATTACAACTAATAAAAATTCAAGGCTTACACAATTTATTAACCAACTTGCCAATCAAATGTTAAGTCTAGCCAAATCTACGACTTACACAATTTATTAATCAACGGCTATATTTAACCAAATTCACGGCTTCACAATTTATCAATCGACTTTTCAATTAACGATCAAGTTTAGACAAATCTACACATTACACATCAATCAACTCTCCAATAAGTGGCTAAGTCTAACCAAATCTGCGACATACATATCTTATCAATAACATGCCAACAATGGCAAAGTCTAGTCAAATCCACAACATACACAAATTATCAATCGGCTTGCAAATCAAATGCTAAGTCTAGCCACATCTACGACATACACAAATAATCAATCCAACATGTCAATCAATGACCAAGTCTAGTCAAATCCACAACATACACAAAGTATCAATCAACTTGTTAATCAATGACCAAGTTTAGCCAAATCCACAACGTGCACAAATTATCAATCGAGTTATCGATCAACGACTAAGTCTAGCAAAATACACGGCATATACAAATTATCAATCGACTTACCAATCAATAACCAACTCTAGCTAAATTTAAAGCTCATATAATTCAACTTATTATCTTTCATCGTGTAAACAACGTATTCACACATCAACTATCTACTATTATTTGCCCATAAGTGGCATCAACAACCCAATAAACGGTTTATCATATACATTACATATCATGTCAATCTCCATTAACAATTACTAATATCATCTCACAACAAGTTCACCATATATCACATACGGATACAATCATTTCAAGTGTGCAAAATTTAACTCCTTACCTTACTTAGAGGAATCTAATCAATTCAACTACCACTGAGTCGTGGAATTTGATTCGATTGGACTTCACCTAACCACAAAATACAATTAATCAACTTACTCAAATTTAGCATATATCTTATAAAATTCATCATAAATTCTTGTTAACCAAAAAATATGAAACTAATGTGAGATCAAATATAACATTCCTAAATTTCATTTTAAAGATCAAAAATTCGATTAACCATTTGAATTATACATAATATCATCTTAACTCACACAATTCGTTCAATTCGGAAAATTAGAGTAGTTTTATTATAAAAATTATTAAAAAGTTATATTACATTCAAATAGGAAGAACTTGGTTTCTAATTAAAACTAACATATATATATCTACATTTTAAATGAAACAAAAATGTGAAAATAACACAAAATTAGAGAAAAAAAAATTGTTGAACACTCTGCAATGCTTTTCCGTCAAGAAAGATAGTATATAATTCTTTCTAAAAAATCATATATATATATATATATATATTTTCAAATAACTCAGATTGATACCATATTAACAAGGGGTTCGGCATTCAACCTAAAACCAATTGGTGATAGGTAGAGTGGCCTTCACCCTTATATAATAGGGGAGTTCCCACATATTTATCAATGTGGGACAATATTCAACACTCCCCCCTCGAGATGATAATCTCGAAAATCCGTACAGGATCCAAACCCAATACGAGCACCATGACTCTAATACCATATTAAGAAGGGATTCAGACGTCCAGCCTAAAACCAATTGGTGATAGGTGGAGTGACCCTTCACCCTTATATACCCTTATATAGGAAAGTTCCCAAATATTTACCAATATAGAACAATATTCAACATATAAGTCAAACGGAAAATAAACTCACTAAGAATCTAAATATGATTTAATGACAAGCAAGCTCATATTAAAATAACTGAAATAACTTAGAATAATATACCAGTCATAAAATTTAGATTTAAAAAATAAGATAAAAGAATTTATAAAAATTTATTCCAAAATCACCTCAAGGAAATGTGGTGAGCTAGGGTTTCCTAAGAGTATTTATGAATAAAATAAAAGTAAAATATAAATAAAAAAAATAAAATTTTATATTTAAAATCTCAAATTAAAATGTTTGTGCATTTTTTAAAAATACATAATTTTAGGCAACAAACCTTTTGTTACTATTTTGACAATAATTTTTTTGTTTTACTTCAAATTGATTCACAGTTTGCAACATTGAAAAGATAATTCAAAAAATATCTAATGACATGAATTCTATGTAGATTAATGCAAACTCACAAATACACAACTATTTCAAATCAATATATAGTTAGCAATTTTAAAATATTTAAGTGAATACAATACTTAATAGGTCAAGCTATTTCAGTCGAACTTAACAATCTGCAAATTAAGTACAAATTAAGTATGACAAGACAATTCACAAGTATTATTTTTTACTAATTTTATTATTATTATAATTAGTATTATTTAAAAAAAAGAAAAACAAAAGGTGATGAAAAGAGGTTATGTGAAAATGGGAATACTGCTGTGTTTGTTTGGGGTTTGAATTTTGAGATAAGATTTAAATAATAAAAATTTTAAATTAAAATAGTTGTACGATGTAATATAAATAGCTTTTGCTGTTATATTTTAAATGTAAAATTAAATTTTTATATTGATCATATGTTTTCGACGGAGAAATTTTAAATGAATTAGTGAATTTTTTACAAAATCCTGATAACAGAATGAGGGCTGCCTTTAATTTTTTATTGTGGGCCCCATGTGCCAAAGACCACGCAGATCATCTGTTATGTACGCGGAGAAGATAGATTAATCGGATTCAATCCGACCACTCATCGTTAATCGATATTCTTTTTTCCTTTTTTGATAATAAAAAAATCATCGCTCCATACATTGCAATTATTTGTTCTAAATGCTATGAGGACCCATTTCCTTTGAATTCATTTTCCTCCCGATCTGGGGCGAACCTGCAAATTAGAAAAAATTTGTTGCAATTGCAATATTAACTCTAATAGGAGGGCCATTCTAAAATTTTCCCGTTGATGAATGATGATCGATGAAGCGCGTTGAATGGCAATTAAACAAAGACACGCCATTACTAGATAATGTAAATAGACATGGAATCTGTGTTTTGTGCGTCGATATGCGTGTGTCGGCTCTCTCTTCTGCCCTAGTTTTTGCTCACCGAACAGTTTGTAGATCAGCAGAACTTCTTATTAGTGGTTGGATTTAAGCATTTTCTGAGCGGCGAAGGATGCGTTCTTTCTAGATTCTCCAAATCAGTTCTTCTATCAGTAGGTATGGATTTGATTTCCTAAATAATCTGTTTTTCTATGCTTTGTCTTCGTTTTAGGTTCGTAGTTCATGTGAAAAATGTTATTGTGTAAACCTGTTTTTTTCTTTAAAGAGACTATTGATTAGTTTAAGAGCTCTCTTGAACTCAAATGGAAGTCTAAACCAAGTCACATTTTTACTGAGATTTCGCTGGAATGAATCAGGTCTTCATTTACACCATTTACAAATTCTTACACAGATCTTCTTCTATTACTAATACTGAATTGAAGTTCGATCCTGAAAAATGTGGCTGCTGATCTAGGTTGATTACCTATCCATTCACAAAAAGGTTAAATTAAAATTGATTTGCTATGTCCTGATTGTAGTTTCTTGATGCTGTCCTATAAAAGGATGATTTTCTACTTTTGATGTTTAGTTTTTGAAAAAACTTTGCTGTTGTGACACTAATTTTTGTGTATTAGGACCTGCAATGGCGAACAAATTTAGTACAGGGAACAGTAGAACAAGAAGTTCAGTGTCCATCTTCATCGTAGCTAGTCTCTGCTGTTTCTTCTACATACTCGGAGCATGGCAACGAAGTGGGTTCGGGAAAGGCGACGCTGTAGCGTCGGCTATGATCAAGGCCGGCGACAGCTGTAACATCCTCCCGAGCCTCAACTTCGAAACACATCACGGCGACAGGACAACGGGCACTTCATATTCTAAAGTAGTCGAATATAAGCCTTGCCATCATCGCTACAAGGATCACACGCCCTGCCAAGATCGAAAACGAGCAATGAAATTACCGAGGGAGAATTTTTTCTACCGTGAGAGGCATTGCCCCTCCCAAGAACAGAAGCTGCATTGCCTGATTCCCGCGCCTAAAGGATATGTGACACCGTTTCGATGGCCAAAGAGCCGTGATTATGTTCCCTACGCCAATGCTCCGTATAAGAGTTTAACGGTCGAGAAGGCGATTCAGAATTGGATTCAGTATGAGGGGAATGTGTTTAGGTTCCCAGGGGGCGGGACACAGTTTCCTCAGGGGGCGGATAAGTACATTGAGCAGCTCGCGTCGGTTATCCCGATTGCGAATGGCACAGTTAGGACTGCATTAGACACTGGTTGCGGGGTACGCCAATCGTGAAATGATCGCCTGATTGTATGATTGTTTTTGCTGCATTGTTGATGATTTAATCTCGATTTCATGTTTTTGTCGATTTAGGTTGCGAGTTGGGGCGCGTATCTTTGGAATAGGAATGTCGTAGCTATGTCGTTTGCGCCACGAGATTCACACGAGGCGCAAGTTCAGTTCGCTCTCGAACGCGGCGTGCCTGCCGTCATTGGTGTTCTTGGAACTATCAAAATGCCGTATCCGTCTAGCGCTTTCGACATGGCGCATTGTTCACGTTGTCTTATACGTTGGGGTGCGAATGGTAAGAACCTTAACCTTATCGAACCTTTTTCTTCATACGGTCGCGCGATGCATTGTATTTTTCGTTCGTTATACAGATGGATTATATATGAAGGAGATTGATCGTGTTCTTCGACCGGGTGGGTATTGGGTGCTTTCCGGACCACCGATAAGTTGGAAGACTTCTTACAAGGCATGGCAACGTAGTAAAGAAGAACTCGAGGAAGAACAGAGGAGGATCGAGGAAGTTGCTAAAATTCTCTGCTGGGAAAAGAAATCCGAGCACGAAGAAATCGCGATATGGCAGAAATCGAAGGATGTAGACGCCTGTCGAGCTGCGCAAGAAAATTCCGGCGCAGAATTCTGTAAATCTGAAGCTGCGGACGATGTCTGGTATGCATTACTTTACGAAAAAAAAAAACATCGCATAAGATGCAATCAAAACGATTTCAAGTTAGTTTTTCGACTTGTCAGGTACAAGAAAATGGAGCGTTGTATAACTCGAATCGGAAATGCCAAAATTGGAGAAGTTTCAGGAGATCTCAAACCATTCCCGGAGAGGCTTAATGCAGTTCCCCCGAGAGTTGCCAATGGCGCAATTTCTGGAGTTTCAGCCGAGGCGTATCTGGAGGACAATAAAGAGTGGAAAAAACACGTCGACGCGTATCGGAAGATCAACAAGATTATAGACTCGGGAAGATACCGCAACATTATGGATATGAATGCCGGGTTCGGAGGCTTTGCTGCGGCAATTCAGTCGCCCAAATTATGGGTTATGAACGTCGTACCGACTATTGCCGAGAAAAATACACTCGGCGTTGTTTACGAAAGAGGACTGATCGGCATTTACCACGACTGGTATGCCTTTTTCAATGCGACGCCATTTCTCGAATTCTCTACATTGCTTTGCTTATGGTTTTCTTTTTTAGGTGCGAAGCCTTTTCGACATATCCAAGGACGTACGATCTCATCCACGCCAATGGCGTTTTTACCTTGTACCAGGGCAAGTGAGTATCCTTTATTCGTTCGATTTCCTCTCTTGCATTTATGTTTCTTGCTAATTCTCGAGCATCGTACGCAGATGTGAGTTCGAAGACATCTTGTTGGAGATGGATCGGATTCTACGGCCTGAAGGCGCAGTATTGTTCCGGGACGAAGTCGACGTTCTTGTCAAGGTGAAGAAAATAATCGCGGGGATGAGATGGGATTCGAAAATGGTGGATCACGAGGACGGCCCTCTTGTTCCCGAGAAAGTACTTGTGGCTGTGAAGCAGTACTGGGTCGGTAACTCGACTTCTGCGTGATGAATACATCGTGCGAACATGGTTTTTGGTCGACGAAGAAAGTTGAGCCGGACCGGGACATGGCTAACCAGGTACGTAGTAATACTCTGTTGTTCGAGCTGTTCTTGTAAGGAAATGGTATGTATCATTCGTAGGTAGAATATTTTTTTGTCTATAGTAGTGTATGGCCATAGCCAAAGCCATGAGAGCTGTTCTAGAGCATAACATTTTGTTATTTTTAGAGGTTTTTTTGGCGTAAATATTCTCAACTGTTTGGTTGAATTATTTGTTGTGGTATGGTTGTTATATTGCAATTATTTATTTTGGTAAAAATGCAATTATTTATTGGTTGAATTATTTTTAAGATAATTGCAATTTTTTATTTTCAATTATATAACACTGTCATTTTTAGTAAAGATACACAAAATATCAAGTATTTTATTTATTGCTTGAAATCCTTTTATCTTAAATTAAAGTTTGCATGAACATTATCCTTCATTTTATACAATTATCAATTTATTTTATTCAAAAAATTTATTTAAGACAGTTTACGTTGTTTTTTTTTTTGTTTTAATTTGAATTTTTATTTAGAATCAAATATCAATTTGGAAGGATTTTTTCGTGCAAATTTTATATTAATATAAATGGTTTCACACAATAAATAAAATATATTTATGCATTTTTACTAAAATAATTTACCCTAATAATAAAAAAAAATTCTAAACACTAAAAAGTATGCAATTTTTGTTTTTTTCTTTTTGAAAGAAATAAAATATAAATTCTAATCCAAAATATTAAATTAAACACTCTAATAAAAAATATTTGATATGCTTTAGAATTAATATTATTATATATATATACAATATATAAACATCAACATATATTTTACAAACTTATCAAAATTTAACAATTTAACATAAAATTATTTTTTATATTGTCAACACACTTCTAATATAGCTAATATATAAAAATAAAATAAAATAAATCTCAAATTAAAAATACAGATAAATATTCTCTTCACTTCACCTAAATGTATACATCTTCCGTTTTCATTCGTCTCAGTATACAATATTTTTTAGTAATTATGGATCCTATTGTTTTGTTTCAAATACTCCTATTTGACTTTACACCAAAAAAATAAAAATAATTATCCTTACACTATTTTAAATTATTCACTACAATTAAAATATTATTATTATATTATTTTTTAAATTCTACACTAAAAGTAAATATACACTATAACTGAGAATGGAGGGAGTATATTTTTTTTTATATTATATTAAAAGTTAATTTAATATATAAAAATATAACATCAATACATATTTATTTATGTTAATCAAAATATACAACTTTATTATCCAAAATTCAAACTCAACTTTCAAATTGTATGACCAAATAAACTATAAAGAAAAAAAAAAATAATGATTTATAGAATATAGTTAAGTAAGATTTAAATTATTGTTTGTTAATTATTAATTTATTAAAAAATAAGACTAATTTTGCGAGACGGTAAAAAAGAAGAAGAATTGAGACGGAGAAAGTATATATATATAATATAATATATTATTAATGGTTGACTCAATTATTTGAATGGAGCTCACCTTATTAATGTCAAATACTCCTTTCGTTCCATTTTAAAATATCTATTTTTTTTCTTAATAAAATTAATCATATACTAATATCAAAATATTTTTAACTTTTATTTAAATTACAAATATACCATTACATATACATTTACTTTTTTACATAAGTGAAAAGGTCAAAAATATCAAATCTTCTTACATACTTGCACTAACTAATAAAATACTATTATTTTTTAATTTACTATAAAATCTCAAATGACCCAACGGTGCCAATGAGATCGTAAATATTAAGGGCATTTTTGGTAATATTTATTGAAGTGATATATTTTAAGTGTCGATCCTAAATATTTGTTGATGGCTACACCTACACTACACTAAAACTCTTCCAGCACAAATACTTAAAGTGGCAATTTATGAACATCCGACCATCGGATCGATCTAAAATTTCTACAAGAATTTTTTGATGTAATATTTCTACAAGTATAGAGTTAGTATTATTTCTTGATCTTCAAACAAATGACATCTTAAGCACTAGATTTTTCGATGGGACAACAAGATTCTATATAGAGTTATTGTTATTTCTTGTACAGAGCTATTACTATTTTATAGGTGTGTTTGTTTGGGGGTTTGGATTTTGAGTTGGAATTTGAATAATAAAAATTTTGAATTTGAATAGTTGTATGATGTGATATAAATAGGTGCTGATGTGATGTTTTGAATGTAAAATTGATTTTTAGTACTGTATAATATAAAAAATAAAAATAGGTGTTTGATTTGATATTTTTGAAGAAAAAAAATGAGATGAATAATGTATTTCCAATCCCCCAAACAAACACACCCTGTAGTGCGGATATTTGATGGACTTTGGTCTCATATTTTCACTTTTCACATGAGAGGTTTTTCAAATAAAAATTTCTCTTAATTCTCTATCGGTTGAATTAGTTATTGTGTTATAGTTCTTTTATTACAATTATTTTATAGTAAATTTACTTTAAAAAGATAAGATTACAAAAATTTAGTTTAATTTTGTAATGATATATCAAAAAATCCAATGATCAAAAGCTAAGTGTAATAACAACCATTACACAACCATTGAATGCATGCGCAAATTTGTGCGTAGGGTTTGTGAGTCTTTAGATGAGTCATCGTGAGCTAGGGAATTGATCATATCCTATTTGCGGTGTCGATTAGGATAGTAAATTCAGTCTACATTGGTATCTCCAAAGTAGGGTTTTCTATATCCGAAACTGGATCTACAACCGCTATTACAACATCAAAATTATTGTTCGTTCAATCGAAGCAATCTGTCTGTGTGATCAATAACAAAAATCGCATACAAACAGATAATTTGTATTTGGGCTGTGCTGTGTGTTGCATTATACTTATTATCAGAACAACATTAGCTGGCAAAAATGTGGAACATCATAATATTCTTCAAGATTTGGAACAACAATGGCTGTCAGAACATTATTATTACATTATTGGTACTGTCTTAGTGCTGTGGATTTTATGTATGCTCTTGTGGTCAGTAATCTTCTGATCTCTGCACTAAATTGGAGAAGACAAGAAAATTAAAGAAAAGGAAATATCATAATTTTAATATTTAATGGTTTTATTATTATTTTCTGGGCAATTCTTTTTTGTCTTATGGCATGAATCAAAGCTTTGGTAGGGCACATCCTCCACCATCATCGTACTATTTGACATATGTTATGTCCCTATCATCTCACATGAATTATTCCTTTGTCCAAATTCTTTGATTAGAAAGTGGTTTTCTTCTCCCAGAATCGATGACAAATTTTGCATCAGACAGCCCCAAATGACGTGATGAGAATTTCTGGGACACATCTTATTTTGGTTTTCATTGATCTCATTTGGTTCTGTGTCTTTAGCAAAAAATTTTCAAATTTTACTATTTGACTCTACATTTTTCGAAAAAAATATATTTTTTCTCTCACAAAACATCCCATCAAACATTATTTTCGTACCAAATTCAGATCGAATTTTTTTTAAGCTCGTCTAAAGAAGCACCACACCAAATTATTTTGAATTATTGTTTAATATTTCAAATACTTTTTAGTATTAAATTATTTTACTTGCATGTTAATAGTAAATATATATTTGGTTTTTAATATATCTTAATGTAAAGCTCGTCGTCGATTTAATTGCGAATCCAACAAAATTGAGAAATATAATTGTATATGAATCGAATCAAAGTGGCTGTATACAATTATATATTTGTAAGACTATTTGATCATTCAATTTGTTTTGAATCATAAATGATGCTTGTATTCGATTTGAAATAATTTTCAAATATTCGATCTGATTCAACCTATTCAAAACTTTAAAATACAATTTTAGCAATTTCATTCAAAAAATTCGATTCAAAATTTGATTTTTTTTTTTTGTCTTGTTCAATTTTATTCAAAGTTAATATATTCGAAAATTTATATAATTGAAATTTTCAAAAATAATTTTAGGACAACTTGATAAAAATAAAAAACAAAGACGTCTACTATTTATAAAATTTTCAAATTGACACCGTTCAATTTCCATTCTCAAACAAAAATAAAAATATCATTGTCTACTTCTAATTTTAATTATATTATATATTTATTTACATAAAACTTTATAAGTAATATTATAAATAACTTTAATTTGATTGATTTAATTTGAAAAAATGTAGTTATTTATACTATATATATTTTGTACTCTCTCTGTATCTCTCTATATATATATTGTTATCAAATTTAATATTAAACTTTTATATTTATATTTAAACAGTGGCGAAATCAGTTTTTGAACTTTGATAAGCTAACCGTCAATTCATTTTTATTATTTGATGTTGCCTAAAAATATTAAATCAAACATCTATTTTTTATTTTTAATATTATAAAAAAATAATAATAATAATTTTACATCCACAAAATTACATCTAAGCCCTATTTAATTCGCATCAACTATTACAGTTCAAAATTTTTACTATTTAAATTTCAACTCAAAATCCAAACCCCCGAACAAACACACCCTAATTTATATTCAAATCAAATTTAATATTTATATTTGAATTCGATTCATAAGATTTTAAATATGAATATTAAAATTTAATTTATAAACTCACACAACCATGTAGAGGAATAAATTAAGGGTGTGGTTGCGTGGGACTTGAATATTAAGCTGAAATTTAAATAGTAAAAAATTTAAATTAAAATAATTGTATGGCAGTGATATAAATAAGTATTAATACGATGGTTTGAACGTAAATTTAATTTTTAATATAATATAAAAAATAAAAAATAAGTATTTGATTTTATATATAAAAAAAAATATAATGAATATTAAGAAATTTGAAAAGTTTGAGAAATAAACCAAGAGACCCTTAAAAGAAGCAGACAAAGAGCAAAAGGGGTTTGCTTTCCAGGAGCAGTATTTTCATTCGTTGTCAAGAAAAAGCAGAAAACAACATTAATTAGATTGTGTTGTGTTATGTGTATTAGGTGAAGCCACATTACATTCTCATCAAGACAAAACTTAATCTTTCATGTAATAGCAGCACACAGTGTCACGTGCCGACGACTCCCAACAACAACGTGCTCCGCTCTCATACCATTCGAAAATCAATCCGTACGGAAACCAAATAAATAATAATATGTAGTGAATCTTTACTCTATTATAAACTCTAACTATACTTGCGCATTCCTTAAAACCTCCTAATCCTCGGACACATTCGGAAGCCCTAAAAATGTCCTCGCCTCTTATTACATTGGCTTCATCGTCCAACCCGCCTTACACGAGCACGACGATTCTCCGGGATCCTTCATTCGCGGCGTATTTGAATGGCGCCGAGGAAAACTTTGTCCTAAGACTTAACGGCAGCACCGGCACCTCCGTTTCGATCCCACTGGACACGTCAGAAATCGATGTTGTCCAAACGGAGAAATATTTCGACGAGAATTATGATCCCGACCTAAAAAGAGACTGCGAGCGCAATCCGGTAGACATTGCGACACCGAGCGTTCATTCCGAGTCGACATGGAACAGCCAAGCCGCTTTATTACAAAAACAACCTAGGAGTACCAAAATGATCCATTTTCTTGCACGCTTCGGCTGCGGCAGTTCCTGCCGAGACAAGAACTCCGGCAGCAGCAGCCGCAACGGTACCGGTAACGGTAAATCGGGGCAGGGACACCAAAATAACGACGTTGATTTCAGCTTCCCGGGTTTTAATCCGAAGGCGGGAAATCAGTCGATGTTTTCGAACTCTTTTATTGGAGCTGGGACCGGACAAGACGGTAGAAGTAGCCGTTCCTCGTCCATGGCAGACAGCGACAGCTGCGCGAGTTCAGACCTATTCGAAATCGAGAGCTTGTCGCCAAGAAACGGATATGCGCCCAGCTCCGACTTCTCGGTCATGTCCGAATCCGAGGATGTGAAATCTTCCCGACCTCCTCGGCAGCGGAAGATTGGCTCGTTTAAACCGCGATGGAATGTTCTGTCGGGATGCATGAACCGCAAGGCTGTCGAGATCGTCGGCGCCAGAGCAACCGAGGTTTCGAACAAGGCCTCGTATAGTTAAAATTTTAAATTAAAATAATTATTTTGTTTAATATAAATAAATATTAGTGTAATGCTACGTTATTTTTTAATAAAATGTAAACAGTAAAATATGTAGCATATATTTTGATTTGATAATTTTTTTCTAATAATAAAATGTAAACAGTAAAATATGTAGCATATATTTTGATTTGATAATTTTTTTTAGAAAAAAGATAAAATTAAGGTTAGTATGCTACCCTATTTCGTTTAAAGTCATCTTTTAATTCATAATTTTATTTTTACATAATTTAACTTATTTTTAATCATACGACCAAAAAAATATTCTTTATATATTTATTTTATATATTTTTAAAATTTACAAATAATATTCAATATTTTTACCGATTTAATACCATTTATTTTTTAGAATAAAAAAATATTCTTTATATATTTATTTTATATACTTTTTAAAATTTACAAATAATATTCAATATTTTTACCGATAATTTAAATATAATATAATTATATTATCATAATTAATTATAAATATCATTAAACATAAAATAAATTAACAAATACCCCTTCTCTCTCCCAACAAATGATTCATTTGTTATAGAAACAGTTTTGATATTATTTTTTATATGAATATTATTGTTAGTATTATAAAAATATGAATTAACATATAATTAAAAGAAATTCAATATGTTTAAATATTTCAGGTATTATTTCTTAATAATACAATATGTATATTATTTTGTAGATAATAAAATTTTATATAATGTAAATTATTTATTTACTTATATTAACTTAAACTATTTTATTAAAAAAATAAGAAATTTTAAATGTATATAAAAATATTTATTTATTAAGGAGATATATAAAAATTGAAAAAATTTAATAAGTAAAAAATCAATTAAATTGATTTATATTTATTAGCTGTATTTTAGATGAAGGCGACGGCTACACTGTTGAATATAAAACTCAGCAATTACTTAATTGCACATCGTGTACTAACCGACAATACACAGTATTACCACAGACAATACACTATGCGTTAATATAATACAAATACAATACATAAATTAACAAAATATAATATAGTCTAACACAACGTATACAACAATTGATTTTAGCACATGACATAATATGTAATAAATGCATGTGTTGTTTTTATATTTTATGTATGCTAACCCTCCCCTTAAGATGAATAAATTTACTAAAAATATTTTTTTAAAAAATTATATATTATAGGACAAAAAAAAATAATGATCATATGTGACAAAATTGATAAGATAAGTATTAACTAAAAATTAGAATATAAAAATATAAAGATAATTTCATTTATAAATAATTTATAGTTTATATTATTTATACTATTCTATGTACTAATATTGACCATGTTTCGTGTAGTTGAGTTTGGAAAAATTTTATTTGAATTTGATATTAAAATAATATTTAATGAAATGTTTTGTAAGAAAATAATTTTTTTTTTTTCAGAAACACAGAGTCCAAATAGTAAAATTTAGAGAAATTTGTGTAAATAAACAGACCCTATATTTATATATATATGCTAATTTTTAAAATAAAAAAATAATTTTTTTTCCCAAATCCAACATAGTATCATACTAGTATTTTTTACTTTTTTTTTTTTCGCACATCATCATGTTCTTTCTGTCAATTCTAATCTCTATACGTTTATAGATAATACACATTAGTATTTTGATTGTGTTTGTTGTAATTATAAGACTTTTAATTCTAAATTTATGTATCCCTCTATTCCCGATACAACCTTACATCATCCTATACACATTGTCAATGACTCACATATGCATATAACTCAAGTTTGGTAACATTTTGACTTCATTCTTATATTTACTAGCATTGATTACATTTCTCAATTAGCCTTAAATTTTATTTGGTTTGGTGAATTGGTTGAATAGAGATTATCTTTTCATCTTCTAATGTGCAAGTTCATGATTCACAAAGGGATTAACTTGTTGAGACGGGACGCAAAACTAGTCGATTATTTAAACTCAGTTAACTTCAAATTCCCTTTCTTCGCCCTTTTAAGCTGCGGTTTCCCCCTCTCCTTCTAGATATCAGTGGCATCTTCGCTTAAAACATGCATCTCCGAACAAACTCAAATCTCTCGTCAATAAAACTATCTTAAGTCCTGTGAATCTTGAGTCCTTTGACTGTATGTATTATATAAGCTTGGAAAGTTGTTTGTTTTTTCCTTTGTTTTTTTAAATTTCTCTAGTGCTAATAAATTTTTCTTTGGTACATTTGGATATTTGAAGGCTTTCACCGGTAAGATCTATGAATGAGTATAAATATTTTGTAATTTTGTTGATGATTTTTCTTGTTTTATTTGAATTTACTTTATGAAACAATGCTCTAAACTTCCATCAATTTATATCACTTTTGTCAAAATGATACATACTCAATTTTCTTGTATTATCCAAATATTGCATATTGATAATGTCCTAGAGTATAATGACTTTGTGTTTCTTAGCTTTCTTTTTGCTCAATATACTATTCAACAATCTTGTCCATATATATCCCAACAAAATGATCGGGTAGAGTGCAAGTATCGTCACATCCTCAATACTGTTTATGTGCTCCTATCAGTCTCTTGTCTTGATCGTTTTTGGAGAAAAGTCACTTTTGATTCCATCTACACCATAAATGGGTTTTCTTTCTCTATTACTCCCTTCTTCGTTCGTTTGGTTTTATTTGTTTTGTCCTTCTCCCACCTCACCAACGCAATAAGCTTGAATCACATACTCTTTTGTGTTGCTTCTTGTGTTATGGGATAGAGTATAAAAGTTATTGATGTTGGAATCTCATATCTAAACATCTTCGTGTCTCTCATTATGTCACATTTTGAGAGTATCAAATGTTCTCTTCAATGTCCAAATTCAATGTCTCTTCTCACTCTACCTCTTACTACTTCTGCAAGTCTTGAGCTCACATCTACTACTCTCGGCATAGTCCCGTCATCCTTATCTCCTTCAACGGACTCGCCTCTGCCTCCTAAACTGGTGCCCGAGCCCCGTCATGATGTCCCTATTGCAATTATCCGCCGATCTACTCGTGTAAGTCAGCTCCCCAAGCACCTCCTTGATTATTACAGCTATTTTGCCATATTGTTTCACCATGAATTCACGTCCTTTTGAGAGGCAAATATTGACAATTTGTGGAAGCAAGCTATATTAGAAGAGCTATAGGCTATTGATACACTTGTGGTATTGTGACTCTACTGGCGGATAAACGTCTTATTAGATGCAAGTGGGTTTACAAGATTAAATTCACTTATCTCTCTTCACATCATCTAATTTCTAAATTATCTTACTTAATACTATCCATACAAATATAATTTATAAATAAATTTAATTAAATTGTAAGTGAAAAAAAAAAATCGGAACAGCGAACTTGCTAAAATTGGAGATAGTGTAAATGATACTAAGGGCATTTCCAACTTAGCCTCGTTAATGTCCTTGGGTTGGTGAATTTGGCGTGGATTTGCTCCAATTCATATCAAATTCTAGTTTAATTTTTAGAGTTGTTACAGTGTAACGTCAATTTAACAACACTGTATTGCCTTTTTGTTTTAATTTTTTTTCAAAAAAAAAATTAAAATGTAAATTTTGGTTTTTTAATTTATTTCATATTTTTTAAAATTTCTTTAAAACTAACGTAAATTATAAATATAGAAAAAATGTTTAAAATAATATTCACATTGTTCTGAAGTAATAGTCTTGCCGGGGTTGTACACAAATTTAAAAAATAATTATATTAATTGAAAGTAGGTATAAAATATACAATAAAATATTAAAATATTCTTGTGAGAATATTTGTGTGATAATTATAAAAAAATATAAATAATTTTAAAGTGATATAATTATTTTTTGAAAGAGTATTATTATTTTTAAAACATACTAAAATGAAAAAAAAAATGTTTTATGATTGAAGGAATATATAAAAATAAAATATTTGAATAATATTAGTATTGTGATTGAAATAAAAATATTGTCTAACCTTCATTTTTTAAAAAAGCTATAAAAGTATAAATTTAGTTTGTGAATTGAAGATGATACAAAAATTGTATGTAAAAACATATAGTACATAGTTTAGGAGCATTTGAATTTACCCACACTTTCGAACGTGTGCGGATTTCAACATTATAAAAATAAATAAATAAATAAATTATGTAACTATATTAAGTATAAAATTGGATTTAAAAATAATTAAAAAGGCGAAATGTGAACTATATAAGATCAGATCGATAAATTGGTAAATAAAATGAACATACAGAGCTTTATTTTGAGTTCGGTAGTGAAGGTTTTTGCAGCAGTCAGCTGCTGAATTCTTCTCTGTGTTCGTCGCCTGGAAATTAATGGAGACCTCTATTTTCAGGGCGTTTAATCCTTTCGCGAAGTTGATTCCCATGAGATGTTCTTCGTTTCCTTCCGTTGCCGGATTTCATACAGGTTTAAGGAATTGAAAATCGGATATGGTGTGCTACTGTCACGGCTACCGCCGATTGTGATCGTTTCACTCCTGCTCTGTGTTACTCCTTTCGTTTAATTTTTTTGCTCTGCGTGCAAATTTGCGCTGATTTGAGTTTCGTTTATCTTTGGCAAGGTAAAGAAGGGAAATTGAAGCGAATGTACGATGGATTGTTGTTAGACGCTGGGGGAACCCTCCTGCAATTGGTGAAGCCGGTGGAAGAGACCTACTTAGCTATTGGCAAGAAATATGGTGAATTCAGCTCGTGATTGAAATTCACTCGTTGTTTGTATTGATAATGTGTTTTCCCCTTGATTCTGTTCATTATAAGTGCTGTGGTTGCGAATCCTGATCCAATTTCAATATCTTGTGATGATGTCAACTACAGGTCTTCAATGTAGTGCAGCAGAAATAAAACAAGGTTTCAAAAGAGCCTTCTCAGCTCCATGGCCTCAAAAGCTCCGATACCAGGTTTCAAACATTGCTTACACCTGCAAGACGCATAAAACACACAAAACACATTCACGCACATATCAATTTACGAAGGTAAATAGGGAAGTGACATAGCCTTGAAGAATGATGGATTTTAGGTTTGTGTCGAAAAATAACATTTGAGATTGGTCTTTGGTAAGCTGTTTTTAGGAAGACGATGAAATATTCTAAGGGTTAAGTTGAAAGTGGCAATTGGCTTTAAAAATGTGACTGCTTCTGTATGGTTATATTTTACTAGATGCAATATAGCAGTAACTTATAGAGATAAATAATAAGTTCTTGGGAGTTCTTTCGAGAACGTATCGTGATTTGATCACCTGAGTAGAATTTGTAACTACAAGTAGAGCGATTTTTGGTTGTAATTCATTATTAACAAAGAAGGATAGTGAGTTTGTCAAGTTTATCGTCTGCATACGAATAGGATAAATGTGTCATGAACTCTACACGGCTTTCATGTAAAAAAATTATTTTTTATTGATCTAGAATTGTCGATGAATCAACAGGGTGATGGACGCCCATTTTGGAAACTTGTTGTTTCTGAAGCCACCGGTTGTGACGACCCGACTTATTTTGAAGAAGTGTATGAGGTCATATTCTTGGGTCCATTGCACTTCTTTTATAGTCTGCCGTAACGAGATTGTTGTGTTTTTTATCCCTGTGAAAAATGATGTGTGAACTCATAAATTTCCATTTCTGTTACCTAATGAAATCGTTTGTTTTAATCAGTACTATGCCAATGGTGATGCGTGGCATCTTCCAGAAGGCGCTTATGAATCAATGCTGTGTCTTAAAGATGCTGGAGGTCTTCACTTAGTAACATTCCGATTCTTTTACATCAGCATTTTTTATATTTACATTTACATTTACATTTGCATTGCTTTATTCACTATTTATATATCGACTCAATGGTGGACGTGGTACAGTCAAACTAGCCGTGGTATCCAACTTTGACTCCCGCTTGAGGAAGCTACTGAAGGACCTAAACGTATTAGATCTGTGAGCATCGATGTCTTTATTCTTTGCATAAGTTTCCGTATTTGCTTAAAGACTATTTGTAGGAATTACAACTATATTGAATGTAAATAGTGTTGAACTTACCTATTCCGACGAGTGGATGCAGCCGAGAGTCATTCAAGGCACAGACCAACATTCCTTTTACATTATGTATTTTGTTTTAGGTTCGATGCTGCCATCATATCATCAGAGATTGGGTATGAAAAACCTGATGAGAAGATTTTTAAAGCCGCGTTAGATAAGGTTTAAAATACCAATCTCTTACATATTCATCCTCTAAATCATGCTATATTCTGCATAGTTGTGTAGTTCATATATTTACTAAAAGAAGACTAGTCTTGGTACACGAAATGTCTCGTGTTTATTTCATGGTGTGTGACATCTTTGAAAATATGTAGAGCAGATCTCCATAGACGCCGGCAGAGCTGTTCATGTCGGAGATGATGCGAAGACTGACAAGGCGGGGGCTAATGCTGTTGGAATTGAATGCTGGTCGGTTTATTCACCGTCTCTTTTATACATTTAGTCGATGGATGCAATGCAATGTTCTGATTTGTTAGGAAATATACTAACATGGTTACGGTTCAACTGGTGCCGTTGGTGTGGATATGCAGGTTGTGGGGTCACGACGTCAAGAAATTCTCCGACATACAACATCTCATCCTTCGCCCAGAAACTTAGGGTGTGCTTCTTTCGATGAGTTCGGAAAAAATTTGGTTTGATTTTAATATAAAAATAATATTTGATAAGATGTTCTCTGAGAGGATAAAATGTATTTTTTTTTTTTTTAGGAAAATGCAGAATCCAAATAGTAAGACTTAGAGAAACTTTGCAGTTTCGTAATTTTGTTGTCCCAAACTGTATGGTCCGTCGAGCTATTTGATCATCTGTGTGGTGTTCTTGTTTTCGGGCTAGAATGGTTAACTATAGATCATTATCTTCCATGAATATGTCCATCAATCCAAGAAGCACTGTTATAATGCATGTTGAACAGATGAAAGATGAATGAAAACAAATGCATATTGGCAGGAAACAAATCGGCTGTCTTCTAAAAGTCATGATAAATTACACATTCCAACTGAAAAAGAGCATCCTGAGAAAACAGGTAACATCACTTTTTTGTTTCCATCAAGCCAGATATCTGTATAATCGTCTATCTGAGTTATCCCTTTCCAGAAAATCTCGTTCGATGAGGGACTCGATCCGCTTCTTAATCTCCCCGGGATTCGCCAGAAACCTCGACTGCAACTGCTTGGTAACCTCAGCAATGATATTGTTATGATCAAGAACCTTCCTCGACTTCATAATTCTCACCACGGCTGCCTCGATCTGGGGCTTCCGATCCTCCTCCACCCTCTGCCTCGTCTCCTGCTTTTCAGGCTCCGACTCCTTCTGCGCCACCACCGTCCCAATCTTCACCTTCCGGAGCTTGCTGGTAAACTTGTCGTTGATGGTAAACACGTCGTCCTCTCCAATATCCTTGCTCATCGGTTCTTTCCGCAGCACGTTTTTACCTTTTACGCAGGCTAAGGACTGCAGGCATCTCTTTAGGTCAGCGGACGGGATCTCGGTGGCCTGCTCAATCTCCTTATAGTTTAGATTGTCGGAATTGTTGAACAGCATTAGGACACACATCTGATAAGTCGACACGTTCAGCTCATACTTTTGCCCGTTCCCGAACATTGCTCTCAGATCAGCTGTGCCCATATTCGTCTGCCACGACAATCTCCGACCGGTGTGGGTCCCGAGGTAGTACGACCGGAACTTCTCGCACAGGGCCAACATTTCAGACGGCAAGTTGCAAGTAACGTTCGACTGCGTCGGCCATGATCCAGTTGTCAAGACCTGGACAACCAATGTTGGGCCGCTTGAAAGCTCCGCGCCGTAGGCTGCGTAGAATCCTTGCATTGTGTCTTGAGAGGTCTTCATGTCTGTAAACATTCCTTCTAACTTGGAAGTGAACTGATATCCGCATTCGGTTTTCAGTTTCACGATTAGGCTTCTCTCTGCGTCATCAGACACCGTTTTTCCAGACAAGAGCCGCTTCGCCAAATGCTGTTTGTAGTATTTCTCGAACACGTCTTTCTCTTGGAGGTATCGGAACAACATCATTACCTTATCAAGAATCGTCTCGATGTCCTCTTCTTTCACTCCCTTAAGTCCTTTCCGCAGTTTGTCGTCAACGAATAATGATATGAACTCGGGAGAGCGAGGATTCAAGTTGATAAAGTACTCGAAAGAAGAATTCAAGGCGTTCTGGAAGGTCTTGTCGTTGCCGAATGCCGAGCTTATGATTTTGTCATACTTATCTCTTGTCTCGAGCAGGGCATCGACAAACTCCACCGGATTTTTCGATTTCTCAGTGTCTGTAACGAGCTGTTTGCCCGTATCCCTGATGTGAGCCGTCATTACATCTCTAATCGTCAAGAGACCATTAGGGACTCTTCGAAATAAGCTGTACATCCTTCCCAAGTCTTCAAACTTATCGTCAAGAAGCATCTTGACCAACCCCGAATTCTCCATATGTACGAGCCTAAGCATGTGGCTAGCTATCATCTCTTTCTCGACAACATAAGTTATCATCACCTCACTCTTAGCATCCAAGTAGTGAGACACCCTCTCGATTTCTTCATTAAGGCGCTTTTCAGCTTTCTTCAAGTACTCGCCACAATCACAGCACTCGATAAACTCCTGAGATTCAGCTCTGTAGAAATCAGCTGAAACGTCGAGAAATGGCTTCTCAAAATCTTCCTGGTACACCAACGATCCCAAATCCATTAGCATTTTGATTATGCTTCTCATCAACCCTCTATTGATAACTTCACCACCGCGCTCCTTGAGTATCAACTCAAGAAGTGTGTTCAGAAGCCTCGTCCGGATCTTGTCTGAGCGAATAACATTGTCCCTCCAAAGATTTAGTCCAAGCTCGTGAACGGGAGTTTTGTGGGTGCTGGGGATAAATGTTCGGTCCATGTACATAAGTATGTCCCGGATCATCTGCAGTGCTTTATTATGATCACTCCAGTTAGCATTAAGCTCTTCTAGGAATGACCCCCCGTGGGCGGCCTCTATGCACCTAGCCATCGACTGAAGATGGAAGGTCATTGTTGACACAAGCCCCGAATAAAGCTTCTCCCCAAATTTATGCAATACCATGTTGTATGCATTTCTAGATCCACAGGAAAACAAAAAAAATCAGAATGGATTCATCTAGATAAAACTCATTAGGGAGAAGATCATACTCGTAATTCGTATTCCTAACCCAATCTAACTTTAGTTGAAACTACTCTTAAACAGTAAAAGCACGACTCAACGAGATTCAGAGATAGACCATAACCATTATAAGATAATATTAATATTCCCATCAAGTTAATAGATGGCGCATATGAAACCATGTAGTTTGTAAATACTATCACAAAGAAAGAGAAAATCAAATAGTCGCACTTGCCTCTAATCATAACCGCATTTATGGGTTTGCAGCAAAGAAAAATGTACAACGATTCAAGCAGTTAGATTCACATGATTGCTGGATGAAGCAACAAGGCCAATCTAATATTACCTTCCAAATGAATTCATGTTGCCTTGATATGATAAAAGATATATATGTTTCAGTGAGAAATAATTTGCCACTTAAAAGTGAAGTAATTATTATCACATTTTTTGTGCAACATTCCAGTAAACTCATCAATCAACCACTGAGGATGAGCATCAGTCAAAATATACCAGATGAAATAAGCAAAAAAGTTAAAAAGAAAAATGATCACAACATCCAAAAAAGAAGCTTTTTCTCATTCATGTTTGCTAGTGGTAGTTAATCTATAAAGATTGCAAGAAGAAACTCATGGGATACCAAGAAATTGATGTTTAGAATGGTATTGGTGTTTGAGAATTGGATTAATTACACTCATAAGAAGACCTCTTTATTTTGTTTTATTTTTTATCATATTTCTCAAAAAAGGATGAAGAAAGACCTACTTCAAAAGTTTTAAAATCAATATTAGAAGAGATGATTACTGGATAAATTACATACAACATGGCATATCAAGTCATTTCAGAGAAATGTTTTCAGTGCAGCAGGTAAGCTATTTACGCATCCTTTTTATATAGTCATAACATTATATGCCTCCAATCTATGTTTAAAGGAAATATTTATGTGTTAAGTATTTAAATGGCTCCAAAACAGAAATGGCTCCAAAACAGAAATGGCTATTCCACCAAAATTGTAATAGTCTAGTACCATTGTGCTTTTCTGTAGAATTCTATGATGAAATTATAAGATATGTCAGAAGGAAATGCACAATGAATAATTTCTTGAAGAATGGTATACTCTAATGATTTTTCAGGCACATAATAGTGAGTTGTATCGAAAGAAGTTGTGCGCTAAACTACTAGAATACCTTGCATATGACATCAGTTCAATGAGTTAGCTTCTAGAAATATGTAACTGTTCGAGTAAGATAGGAAAATTCAACGCTATGATGCCCCAAGTACTGGCGTATACTTAGAAAATCATCGCATCATTATTCAACTTTTTTGTGCTATTGTGCAACTTTTTTTTGTTTTTCGTTTTTAACTTTGGCCTTCAGGGTTGAGATGAAGAACTCTAGAAACTTGTTTTTGTTTAGATTTCTGATGAAGTCTATAGTTTTCTCAGTAAATATGAATTATAAAAACCAAACCGACTGGTCATTTATAACAGGAAAAAGACAAATATACTTCAGTTGATCAAATAATGGAGCTCACACTTCAGAAATCAACACGTGAATGATGCTGAAAGGGACTCAACAGCATGATTACTAGTCCACTGTAACTAAGAAAGTTTGTTGTGATCATACGAAGAACTTAAAATACTTAAAACTTAGAATATTCAAAATACCAGAATTTGTATTGCCTTTCAATTATAAATGCAGAAAAAGACAGCTCCCGATAGTTACCAAATCATTTTATTTATGACACCTACCTATATTTTGTGTCCTAATTCTTTTCCACACGATTATCCTTGCAGGGGAATAAAGTTGCATTGAATATCTATAAGATGTTGAAAGCAAAAATGAAAGACATAAATATACATATATATATATATTCTGTATCATTGTGCGAAAATCGCTGTAGGTCATTAAATTCATCTAATTATGTCGCCAGTGATCAAACTAATTAAAATGAGTAGGTCTCCTGTCTACCAAATCCACGCAACAAAGTTCGCATGATGAAGAAAGATACCAAACTGTTGGTACTTCTGTAAGCTCTTGCTCTAGTAGAAAAATTAAAGTTCAACATAGTAATCGCCTATGGATAACAAAAGATGCTACCCTTTAGAATAAATGCAACTTTATAGATCAAATTCCTATGATCAATAGAACTCAAAACATAAGAATTATCAATTCAGAACTGCTGAGTAAACAATTAATCAGCAATGAAACCTATATGCAAAAACCAACAAGCTCAGATAAAATCAGAATTCCACATAGCTATATGCCACTCACTCACCTGACACTATAATTAAATCCAAGTTACTTCAACTAGTTTTCATGGAAAAATCATCAAATAGCCATATCATACTTGCACAAGAGATAGCTAGCTAGCTACACATATCAATCCTGCAGCTATAATTCCATACAAATCCAAATTAAGAAAAAAAAGCCAAAATGGAAAACCTGTATAGCTCTTCAAAGCTGAGTCCACTAGCGTTGTGATTGTAAATCTCATGAATTGCATGTTCCAGAACCTTCCAAGTCTTCTCTGCATACTTGGGATCCACAACCACTTTGTGCTTAAACGCCTCTATCTGAAAATTCCTCTTCTTCTGCCCGCCGCTCATCCTTTTCTCCTCAAATTCCCCAAAATCGTAAAACCTATTTCCAGAAATCCACTCCGAACTAACAGATTTCCAACCACTCCACTGTTTTCTTTTAACTCCCCAGATTTATGATTCGACAAAAAGGTAATACTCCCGGCATACGCGATTGAAACGGCAAGGAGAATCTAGACCAAGATTGAGCTGTACGTCACACTAATCCACCGTCAGAAGGATTTCGATACCGATTGATTGCAGGAAAAGCATAAGTTTCGTTACTTTTTTTCACTGATTCATCCCTAGGGGGTTCGATTCAAGTTTGCGAGAGCCCGTTGTTTGAACAGATGGGTTTCCTTCTCAAGGCTCTGTTTGTCTGAAAATCTCTAATAAATAACAAAATAAAAATGTTATAATAAAACCGAATGCTTCTTTTCTAAACATTTATTTACTTTATAAATAAACAATTAATAACAAAAATCAGAGTGGCGCAGCGGAAGCGTGGTGGGCCCATAACCCACAGGTCCAGGATCGAAACCTGGCTCTGATATGAAAATTTTTATCTTATTTTGAGCCCATTAAGGCCCAATAGTATTATATTATAGGCCCATTTGAAATGCTTTAACAAGACAAAGCAACTTACGTCGGTGATCCAATATAAGTGTACATGGCATGAGCTATTGCTAGCATTATTAGGATTGCCATTCTTACGACGTGGGCCCCACCTAAAAAGTCTATCATTTTATTTATTTATTTTGCCTAATATGTAATTAAATTAACTTATACTAACTATTTTTAATTAATAAACTAATTATATTATAATTAATGTACATATTTAATAAATCAAAATAAATTATGATATATTATAGTTATTATAATATTATCCACGTAAATAGATTAAATGGAAGAACATTAAAAAAGATTATGGTCAATAATTTATTTTATTTTATTTTATCTTTTTTGGATGTATGTTTATGGCATTGTTTATTTTGGTCCGCTATTACATTAAAAATTAATTTTAAATTCAAAATATAATTCAATTTTTATTTATAATACACTAAATAATTATTTTAATTCAAAATTTTATTATTCAAATCAAAATTTCTAAACAAACACTTTTAAAATTATTACATGAACAATAAAATAGGTGCAAATCTTAAAAGGCACTGCCTTATAAACATCCTTAGATATACTATTGTGTAGAAAAACACTCTTAACATTCCACTATAAGAAAAATCATTTCCGGATTATTACAATGAAAAAAAACAAACAAACATACATCGTGCGACGAGACAAAATCTCTTTATAATCAATGTTATATTTTGATGACAAGCAAGTCTTGTCCTTGTGAGTGTATTAGTGTAAAATATAGTGGCAATTATGTAATAATAATGAAAAAATAAGTATAGTTTTATTATGATATGATTATTTATGAAAATAAGACTATCGTTTTGGGACGGACAAAAATAGTAAACAAGACTATTATATTAGAACGGATGGAGTATTTAAAAAATATATATTATATTTATGATATTTGTTTTATTTAAAAAATTTGTAAGATTTTATTTATTTCTTTAGACGATATCACTATAAATATGTAAAAAATCTGATAACTTAAATAAATAATTTCAATATTATATTCTAATATGTGCGGACATAGTTTGCTATCACAGCGGATCAAAATTTATTTAGGCTCACTCAAAAATCGGATAATAAGATAACAGGGATTGTCATGAAGATGGCTTACGTGATGTGATTGAGATTTTATAGTGTGTTTGTTTGGGGATTGGATTTTAATTATACTATTCAATTCACTTTTTTTCTTCCAAAAATATCAAATCAAATACGTATTTTTTATTTTTTATATTATACTAAAAATCAATTTTACATCCAAAATATTACATCAACACCTTTTATATCACATCATATAATTATTCAAATTTAAATTTTTTACTATTCAAATCTCAACTCAAAATCCAAACCCCCGAACAAACACAGTATAATATCATCGTGCTCATCATCTTCTACGGTAGACTCGATAATGAAATTGGTCAGACCACTGCCCTATTTCAGACACACAATAATACCAATAATTTATGTACAGTGAGAGTATATATACACATCCAAAACCTACAACGATTTCTAATACTCCCTTTTGAATGTGTGAGAATAGATCCGTGACCGTAAAATTATGAATTATATAAAAACTAAAAAAAAATACTTTTAAGATATTTTTAATGGACAATTCAAAATTTATTTATTTTTTTTTTAAAAAAAAAAAAAAAAAAAAGGTAAAAGAGAAGTGCTCAAAGAATCACAAAACAGTCTATGCAAAAAAGAGATGCTTAATATATGGGAATATATTTATTTTTCCGACATTAGATAAGATTGCCCAAAAATAAATAAATAAATAAATAAATAAATAAAATAAAAAGGAATAAAGATGAAGATGCCCACGACAGTAGGTATTTATTATTATTTGCTTCCAAAAAGGCAACTCATTCTCTCCCGCATTAGTTTATGAAAATATAATTAAAACTAATACTCTATTCGCCTATATATTCATTTGTTTTTTGCACAAAATTTTAAAAATATTAATATTATATTGAAATATAAGTATAAATAAATTAGAAATAACTAAAATGATCTTATTAGTATTGTGTGATATAAATGTAATGATATTTGTGTAATATATTAAAAATTGTAAGGGAATTTGTAATATTAGATAGATAATACATGTACTAGAAAAAAAAAATTAATACTTTGTTATAGGACAAACTAAAATGAAAAAAATAAATAATTCGTTATCGAAGGAAGAAGTATTATAATTTCCTAAATAAAAGTAATAAATACGTGCTTAGTGTATTGCTTACAATAATAATAATAATAATCATAATTTCATTATTTAATTTGAGAAGATTAGATCCATTTGCATATTTTGGTGTGATTTGTATGTATGTAATATATTCCATTTGCTAAATATATTTTCTGTTGCATATGATTTATATAATGTGATTAGTTTTGACGGCCTAATTCCTAATTCGCAGGATATTAGATTTTGCCAGAAGTTTACTCAGACCGCACTCGAATTGTAAAAGTGACGGATTTCTATTTTTTTTACATGCAATACTAGAAAATAAGTACTCTCTATTCGGGATAATTATGTATAATTTATTTTTTAGTAGATAATTTTATCAACCCACCATTTTATTAATTGTGTTTTAATAAATTATAATCAATAATTTAACATTATTATTTTACATATCTCACTATATTTTTATCAATTCTTTAATGAAACTTTTATAAATTTTCATTTTATTTAACTTTTACATATGCTATTTTTATATTAAAATATAACTACTCTTTAATCTTCATGCCCAAAAATAAAATAATATAATTATCTCGAATGAAAGAAATATTAAACTATAAAGTGGAGTGTAACACCGATATAATTTCTATACATCTTTTTATTAAACGATAAGTATTTAATTCAATAAATATTGATATAACAAAATGTCTATAGGTTTATATCTCGAAAAGTAACAGTTATGAATTCTCGCGTTATTAAGAAAAAAAAATATTTGAAATTTCCAATCTAATAGTTATACATTATTCATGAGATTAACAATATACTTTCGTCGATTCTTTTGTATATGTTTATATATATATATATATAACTATGTATATGTTGAACAATATATATATTTTTTTCATTGCAATTCAAAATATTATTTTTATCATTTTTATATGTCATATTTAAAAGTATTAATTTCTTATTTAAAAAAAAATAATAATCATCCACTAATATCAAAATATATTTTAATTTTACTTAAATTATAAATATATAATTACAAATACAATTACTTTATAGTACATAAAATTAAATGACAAAAATATCAAAACTTCTTACACACTTTCACAAATTAATAAAATATTACTCCCTCCGTCCAATTGAAAGGTTATCATTTTCTTTTTTCGTCCATCCCAAAATTAGGTTACTATTTTCTAATTTAGTAAGTGTACTACCTACTTCACATAATAAATACCCTTTCAACTTACAATATATTACGCAAATGTCATTACTTTTATATTACACAATACTAATATGGGTATTTTTATCTTTTTTACTACAATCCAATATAATACTAATATTTAAAAATCTACGTGCAAAAAACAAACATCATCTTTGTTGCGGAACGGAGGGAATATTATTTTTTAATTTACTACAAAATTACACAGAGCTCATTTCAATTAGGACGGGGGAGTATAATTAACTATACATATATATTGAGAAGTAATTTTTAAGTTGTCCTAAAGTAATTTCTACTATAACTAAAGGTTAGTTCCGATTTAGGATTCAGTCAACTGAGTATTGTGAGTGTGAGTATACAAAGCAGATAATATATAAATAATAATACATGATAAAAGGCTTTAGATCTGATCTGGTCAAGCAAGTATGATGTTAATTTAACCAGACCAGTATATGCTATAGGAATTGTCAAGTTATATTTATACATATCTCAATATATATTATGTTATAATATAATATATACTGAGTTATAATATATATATATATTTACATATAATGTATTATAACACTTTGTATGAATGCGTCGATACAAGAGGAGCCGAGCATCCAATCCCTAATGAAACTAGTGCTAAATTATAAAAATATACTTATATTTGTATAAATTTTTATACAAATATCATTTTATTAGTATTATAAAAGAACGATTTTTGTAGTTTTTTCTTAATTTTTACTAGGTTTTGATATAATAATTACTAATATTTAAAAATTAATACGTAAAAAGTAAATAAAATCCTTAGAGGTGGATGCAAGTAGTATTTTCTTTGTCCGAAACTAATCTACCATAACCAATGAAAATATTTATCATAATAAACTTTACAAAAAAAAAAAAGTAAAAATCAATATCAATATTGGAATATATTTTCTCATATTCCAAAAAAAAACAAACCCTAACCTAAAGGGGGTAATAATGCATATTTCAACAGATAGATGGGGACCAAAACATAAATCACAATAATAAGTCCATATTTTCCCCTTCAGTCCTCAAACTTTCCTTAACTCTCATTTATACCCCCAAAAGAACGCTACATAAAAAGCTCCGACTGCAGCATGGTATAGTAACCGGCGGCGACGTCCTCGAATTCCCACAGGCCGTCGTTGCCAAAATCGATCGGAAAATTCTCCGAACAGCTCACGTCAGCAGTGTTTAAAGCCTCGTCGTCGGTGCAATTCGGAAGCCCTAATTCATCATCGGAGGCCTCCAGGAGATGCCTCATGACCGAATTCACGCCGTCGTCTTCGTCGGACGAGCTGCACGCCGCCGCGGTGGCGCCTCCGGGGATCTCCTCGACCTCCTCCGCCGGCAGAAAGTCGAAATCGAAGGCGGCGGAGAGATCCTGCTGCTGGAACACGGCGGATGACGACGACGGCGACGAGAGTTCCTCCTCCTGCAGAAGTTCTCCCTCCGAGACCGAGTTTTGGCGCTTCGAGTCGGAAAAGTGATTCACTCCTTCCGATTCATCCCTGGGACGCTTCTGGTAAGGCTCCGCCATTAATGGAGGTGGAGGAAGCTTTGGAGGAAAGGAATTATGTAATGAGTTATAATAATTAATGGTTGTTGCGGGCGGGCAGAGAGACGAAGCATAGCTATTTATAGAGAAATTTTGGTGTCAATAATAAAGTCAAACAAATTTTTAAAATAAAATAAAATCAAATCAAATAATTAAATAAATAAAATGGCACAAAGCTATGGTTCTTGATGACTCTTCTTTCGGCTAATGATGAATTACTTCCTCTTTCTTTTATGTTAATATATTGAAAATTGTATTAGTAAAAATAATTATTATATAAAAATTTAAAAAATGATAAATTATAAAATTTAAAATATATAATTATATTTTTTTAAAAAAAAATAAATTGTATCAAATAGGCAAAACTAGAAAAAATACACACTTTATGAGAAAAAAGTAGAATATTCACAATATTTTTTAATTCAATAATGATTAAAATATGTGATATGATTAGTTCTACTGTTTTAGTTTTTTTTTTATTATTATTATAATTATTATTATATTTTTAAGATATTTTTACTTTTATCATTGTTCATTTTGTTATGATTAGTATAATAATTTGAATTTGTGTAATAATAACTTTTTTAAAATTTTTGTGAAAAAAATGTACTTAATTAGAAATTGTTGGTTTAGATAATAGTATAATTTTTTTATAAATATTACTCCATCCGTCATCCAATTGTGTGCTCATTTGACCGGGCACGGGTTTTAAAAATAATATGTAAAAATAGAAATTTTTAATTTTTTGGATAAAAAAAAAATGGTATTTTTTTACTAAAAAACTGAAACGGGAATAAATTTAGATAACAACCAAAAAAGGAAAGTGAAAATAGATTTAAACGACGGAGGGAGTAAAAACTGCAACATATTTATATTTTATGCAATATATATTATACATATTTTATTTATTCACAAAAAAATCTAATAAATCAACTTAAAATATTTTTTATATTAAAAACATAAATTTTCATACTTAATATAAAAAATAATCCGATAAAAAATACAGAGTGAATGATACCCTATATTGTTAATAAAACTTATAAGCAAACAATTTTTCCTTTTTTTTTTTTTTTTTTTTAAGATATGGGAACCTGCGGTCGCTACCCAAAAGTACGCATTGGATAAACCCCCAATCGAACCTAATACCTTGCAAATTATGTCTTATATAACATGTACACAAATAATCATATACTATTGCATTTCATCAAAATTAGAAAATATTATTTTACAGTATATATGTTGTAATGCAATACACTTTTACACGTGATCTATAACATAATAAAATATATACACAATAAAAGTAAATGAATACATACAAAATAAAGTCACACTTGTCAAATATGTGTTACAGATAAAATTCGAAAGAATCAAATATTTGAATTCATAATTTTACGATCACAAATCCATCTTCACACTATCAAATCATCATTTACGGACAATCATAATCTAATAATAGTATGTTACATTATAAAAAGAAAAACATATAATAAGTTAATCATCATCATAATTACTTTTATTGTTTGAAACCTAATTCAATAATAAAAATGGTTAAGCATTATTCTACTACAATAATGGCAAATCTATGTTGTCTATCTAGAGAATAAATTGAAGAGTAGTAGTAGTGTGTTCTTTCGATTTCATCGAGTCTTGCATGTTATACTTGATTCGCTGTGATTTTTCTTGCTAGATCTAATTTGTAAATTATTAAATTCGATCAAAAATTTATCCAAAACACACACATATAGAATAGTTGTTGCAGATTTTTACATTATAAAACAAACAAACAAACAAATAAATAAATAAATAAATAAATAATAATAATAATAATAATAATAATAATAATACAACTATGTATAAAGTAATTGTATATATGATGATATTTTTATAATATAAGTAAAAATTACTTGTATTTTGATATTAGCTTATGATTACTTTTTCTAAAATAGTAAAATAATACTTTTGAGTGAGACAAATAAAAATAGTAAAAATGATAATTTGAATTAAAATGGAAGGAGTATATATTTTGAAAAATATCATAACAAATATATATTTTATCTAAAAACATATGATATTAAATCTTTAATTTTTATTATTCTTTTTTTTTCAAAATTATAAAATTTTAAAAATTCTAAATAGAGCCTAAGTGTGTTGTATTATGTTTTAAATTTATTTAATAAAAAATTATAAATGATTACTTAATATATGATCTTTTATTCAATTTGCATCTTCTAAAATATCATCATTCACCTATTTTAATGTGTATTCTTTTATGCATTATATCATTTTTAGTGAAAAAGATTTAATTCATATTTTTAATAAAAATAAATTTGTTTTTCATCGAATATTTAAAAATAAAAAACTAAATTATTTCACATAGACAAAAAATCACAAAGTTTCAAAAGTATTTGGATCACATGCTAAAGTGTGTTTTTAATTCAGCATGTGCATATATCATTAATTAATGAAGGATAATTAAGTTAATTTAAATATTATTTTAAAATTAAATATTGAAATTAATTTTCAGCATGCTGAATTTTGTAAATTCAGCATATGATCTGCCTCGTTTTCAAAAAACTTTCATAATTTTGAATAACTAACAATAAAATTTTTATTATTCTTAAAAATTAGAAATCTTATGTGCGTTTGCTTACTAAAATTGTTTGAGAAAGTATTTTTTATGTGACTATAGAAAATTGTGTAAGTAATATAAAAATAATTGTATATAATATATTGTTTTTTTTTGTTTTTCTTTTTAGAAAAATGTACTTTTTGAAAATTATGGAAGAACACAATACTTTTATTTTGTTTAGTATTTTTTTATTTTAATATTTTAAAAGGAAAATACTTTTTTTAGAAAGAAAAAAAGTATAAGATATGATGTATTTGAAGAAAAAAAATGTAATAAAAAAAAGAAACGGGAAAAGAACATATTTTATTTAATTTTTTCATCTCCCCCATAAATTTACTTTATTGCTAATTTTAACAAAGTAGATAATCAATATTTAACTATAAATCTCAATTTAATATTTATTTATTATATTTTATTCATACTCACGGTCATGAATCCACTTTACAATCATACTTACAAGTTTTTTACAAAATAGTACAATGTTTGTAACATGATGGAATTGAGATTTGTTTTTTCAGTAATCATATTCATATACATATTGTGATGGTTTTGGGCTTATGACTGTTGGAGGCCCAACAACACTCAACCCAACCCGCCCATCCGAAACCCGGATCCAGTGCCCGCGACCCTACCCGGATATGTTGAGATGTGATGGCTGCCGTTGGATTGAAGGAATTGATCTGGGCCGTTGGATCTGATCTTGAGCCTTGTATATAAATTGGCTCTTCACTTGAACCGGGTTCGTTCAGTTCTCTCATCGCGATCTGTCTCTCTCTAAAAATTCTACCCTTTGCGACGGTGCTATTCGATTGATCTTTTTGGTCTGTTTTTCGGTGATTTGTCCGGCGAATCTTGAGCTTCAATACTGCGCATTGACGTTCGACGAGTTCTAAAGCTTTCCATCGGTTTGCTTTCTTGATTCGGGTCTGTTTTGGTTGTTCGCGGTGTATATTAGTTGTCCGTGATAAAATTAGACCTAGAATGTTAGCGTTTTCATAGATTGTGGTTTGGTTAGCGTGATTGTGCGTTTCTGTGAATGTCGTTTGTGGTTTGGGTCGATGTTGAGTGTTTGTGTTGGTTCAGTTGATATATTTTGGTATAACTGAGTCTAAGTTCTTTGATTTCGATATAATAAAAGATTATTTACATTCTTTGAATTGCTGAATGTCTTTGGGTGAATTATAAGTGTTCGATTCGTATATAATTTCTCAACAAGTGGTATCAGAGCTGTAGGGCTTGTTTTTCTATTCACTGAATTTTTGAAATCTTGGACATTTTGGAAACTCCTTGTTCTCGTTGTCCTGGTTCATGCCCTACATTAGTGTTTGATCTAGTTGAAGAAGAAAACCTTCTTTTATTGGTTTCTCTCTTATACTGGATCGTGAGTAACTCCTTGAAAAGAGCTAGAGTTGGTTTTCGAAGGAGTTTTGATATTGAAATTCAACCATAGAGGCTGAATTTGTATAAATTTCTTAATTGAAGCATCCAAACATTACTAATCTGTGTTTTGAGTATGCAGTGAACAAATTTTTTTACAAGAGGAGTTTTTTTGGATTACAAAAAGAAAGTCAAAGAACTGTTGTAGAGCTTGAAGTTGGGTAAAATTTCGGTTTACTATTCAAATCAGTGTGTTGTGCTTGCTTTGTGGGAGTTTTCTGTGTATTGATTGTGGTTGTGAATGATTTACAGTAACTGTAAATCTGTTTTAGGTTAAGTAACTGCTGTAAGTTGGTTTTTTCAAAGAAACTAACATTACGAGAAAAAATAATTTTTGTAACAAAATATTTTTGTCTCTAAATCTATTTTTTCTGTTACTAATGACATTAGAGACGGAATTAGGAATGAAATTACGTTAGCTACATGAACTTTAGAGACGGAATTCCGTTACAAATATATTATTTTTTATAGTGTAACTCACGGTCAGTTAGGCTTTGTGAAGTGTTTACTTAAAATTGCATTTGTTGGTGATTAATTGGGCTAGCAAACTGCTACCTTGTTATTCCCAACTAAATCTTTATGTTTTGGCTGTTGGGTTTTCTAGAAATTTTCTGGTGGATAAGCTAAAAATCTTCTGTGTGTAAATTGCACATCTGATTGATGTCATTTTTGTGCTAGAAAGCAAAATCTGTTTTCAAAAACATATCTGTCTGTGTGAAATTAAGAAATTTGTGATGGTTTGGATAATTTTTCTTGTCAAAATGGTATACCAAGCATACTTTAATATACAACCTTTTGATGGAAAAACTGATTTTGCTATTTGGAAACAAAAAATGAGAAGTGTCCTGTAACTCAAAGATTAATAAAAGTCGTTGAACTTGATCCAAAAACTGAAATTCTTATTGCAAAGAGGAATGAGCTGGATGAACTTGCGTCATCATGCATTATTTTGAACCTAGCTTATCATGTAATTAGAAAAA